CCACAGCTCATGACCATAGGTGAGGGAGGGGAACGAAGATTGACCGGTAAATCGAGAGCTTTGCCTTTCGGCTCAGCTCCCTCTTCACCACAACGGTCCGATACAGAGACCGCATCACTGCGCACGCTGCACCGATCCGCCTGTCAATCTCACGCTCCATCCTCCCCTCACTCGTGAACAAGACCCCGAGATACTTGAACTCCTCCACTTGAGGAAGGACCTCTCCACCCACCTGGAGAGGGCAAGGCACCTTTTTCCGGTCGAGCACCATGGCCTCGGATTTGGAGGTGCTGATTCTCATCCCAGCCGTTTCACACTCGGCTGCAAACCGTCCCAGTGCATGTTGCAGGTCCTGGTTCGTTGGAGCCAGCAGGACGACATCATCCGCAAAAAGTAGAGATGAAATCCTGTGGTTCCCGAACCGGACCCCCTCCGGCCCCTGGCTGCGCCTAGAGATTCTGTCCATAAATACAGTGAACAGAACCGGTGACAAAGGGCAGCCTTGGCGGAGGCCAACATGCACCGGGAACAGGTCTGACTTACTGCCAGCAATGCGAACACAGCTCTGGCTCCGGTCATACAGGGACCGAACAGCCCTCAGCGGAGGACCCCGGACCCCGTACTCCCGGAGGACCCCCCAAAGGACACCCCGGGGAACGCGGTCGAACGCCTTCTCCAAATCCACAAAGCACATGTGGACAGGTTGGGCGAACTCCCATGAACCCTCGAGTATCCGATGGAGAGTATAGAGCTGGTCCAGTGTTCCGCGACCGGGACGAAAACCACACTGCTCCTCCTGAATCCGAGATTCGACCATCGGACGAAGCCTCCTCTCCAGTACCTTGGAGTAGACCTTACCGGGGAGGCTGAGGAGTGTGATCCCACGATAATTGGAACACACCCTCCGGTCCCCCTTCTTGTAGAGAGGGACCACCACCCCGGTCTGCCACTCCATTGGCACCGCCCCCGATCGCCACGCGATGTTGCAGAGACGTGTCAGCCAAGACAGTCCTACAACATCCAGAGACTTTAGATAGTCAGGACGGATCTCATCCACTCCCGGCGCCTTGCCACCATGGAGGCTGCCAACCACCTTGGTGACCTCGGCCAGGGAGATGGAAGTATCCGCCCCAACATCCTCAGCCTCTGCCTCCTGGACGGGGGACGTGACGGGGGGATTGAGGAGAACCTCGAAGTATTCCTTCCACCGTCCGACAATATCCCCAGTCGAGGTCAGCAGCCCTCCACCCGCACCATACACGGTGTTGGCAAAGAACTGCTTCCCCCTCCTGAGGCGCCGGACGGTTTGCCAGAACCTCTTCGAGGCCGACCGATAGTCATGCTCCATGGACTCTCCGAACTCCTCCCAGTCCCGGGTTTTTGCCTCTGCAACAGCCCGGGCCGCGGCACGTTTGGCCTGCCGGTACTGGACAGCTGCCTCAGGAGTCCCACAAACCATCATTGCTCGATAGGACTCCTTCTTCAGCCTGACGGCATCCCTTACTGCCGGTGTCCACCACCGGGTTCGGGGATTGCCGCCGGGACCAGCACCAGAGACCTTTTTTAATCTAAAACTTTAAAAATCACTGAGCTCTGTTGAGATCTCAAAAGTGAAGTTCATGCAAATAAGTTATTATTCTCCAAGCAGAATGGGCAGCTCCTGCTGTATGGTAGGCCTACTTTCAACATAATCTGTGGAGTGAAGTATAAAGCACTTTGTTCAATCTCAGTTTGTGATGTATATATTGTTATGGGCCAGGCCCTTACTGTCCAGGAGAGGGAGCTGTCTGGGGTTTGCCTGCCTTCTCTGCCGTCTCCTCCTCATCATGGACCTTCTTCAGCTGGGAGCTGAGAGCTGCTCACTCTCCTCCTGTGCTGCTGTCTTAGTCGGTCCTGTCCTGGTGGGCTCTACCTTGAGCCACCATGTCCATTCCTCTATTGCACATTTGAGTTTGTCTTTTGTTTTATGCACCACATCCACTGCACACCACACACCGGCTTTCATTGCACTCACACACCTGCACTACACTACTGATTACAACATGCTCACACCTCATACCTTGTTTTTGTTAATGTCATACTCGCCTTTTGTTATTATTAAATATACTTTTTGCACTTTTTACCCCCGTTTCGCCTCCCTATTTGTTATGGCTCTGAGTCGGCCGTAACAATATATGAAAATGACTTTTTACTTACTTACCCACGACAATCTGTCTTAGATATTGAGAACTGAGCCAGGCTTTAAACAGCCCTATGTAATTCAGCATTTGACTAGGTAGGTAAAATTTAGGAATTGAACCTTAAGTCCAAAAACACAATTTGTCAAGCTATGTATACACTTTAATGGGACAAATATGGTAACTTGAGCACTGTTCGCTCTTCTTCCTACTTTATCTGTCATCCTTATGACTTCAGCTGTAGTCTGTTCATCGCTATTCACCCGCTGCCCCATTGATCTCTCCCTCATTGTGGGCTTCCCCAAGGTTTCTGACTTTTTCCCCATTTCAGCACATTATTGGACATTGGTCATCTGCCCCTTATGAACCAAAGGCTCTATGTGTTCTTTATCATTTAATTTTTTTTAGTTTGAACGGTTTGATTCTTTGATCTGTGTTTTAAAGAATCAAACTTTGTAATATCAAATGAGATAAATACTGTTGTGATTTAGGGCTATACAAAAACAAATATATAATATATAATATAATATAATAAATACAAAAGCACAAATGTATAAAGGATAGAATATTAAGCTTTTCTTTTTTACTTTTATCTAATTAAGTAGTATTTTTATAGTAGCATGGAATGAGTTTGTGTGTGATTCAGTCTTTGAGTCATCAACAGTCTGGAATGGTTTGTGGGGGAGCAGTTTCTTCTGCACTGGAGAATGTGGTTGGTGCAGTGTTTACCACTTGGTGCAGGTTTATGATGTACATAAATGTAGAAAGAGCAAGTATTGTACACCAAAAAATTTATAAATTAACACATTTTTGACATCAGAGCTGAGCGTGCAATGCTACCTTGTTTTCTGAAACTATGATGTGCATAGCTCTCCCACTGCACCTCTGTACATGCGACACAAACCATCGCTCTCCCCTGGCTCTTCTGACCGCTGCAACACAAACACTGCTTTGACTCAGAATTTTCATTATGATTCAGAAGTGTTGCAATGGCATTTTTTACAAACAAGCATACATGTCAAATGACAACAAATGCAGAGTTAACAGAACGCAGGACTGCGTTCTGTTAACTCTGCAGAACGCAGGCTCCTCCTGTTGTATTTAAACTGTTCTATTTCCAACTGCTGAATTTCAAATTGTTTTTCCGACATTCAAAGTTGTTGTTTTACCCAATGCGGGACGATTAAAGTAACTCTTATCTTATGTCCAAGTTTGTGCCGTTGCTGCATCAGAATTGGCAGAAACAGCACATGTGGCACCCTCCAGCACTCAGAGCTATATCAACTTTGCCATTAATGTGGTTCTCACATTTCCCATTAGCTGTTTTCTGTCAATATCTAGGTCAAATTTTGTTCCAATTTGTAGTTTCTATTCTCTATTATTATGTAGTACATTGGAACTCCTCAGAGGGAGCATCAAAAAGTCCCAAAAAATCAATTTGGGATAAAATGCCAAAGTAGCAAATGCGTTGCCACAGCTGACCAAATACCCCGCTAAACCTTGGCTCCATTGGAATTGTGACCACAGTTTGTCTGTTTGAGAACTCCATTGGATTCAACGCAGGACACTTCACTCACAAAAAATGTGTCCCTTGTTCCAAGCAGTAAAACGGTTTACATCAATCACCACTTTTCACATGCTTGTAAATTTGGCCTGTCAGATCTTCAGCTTTTTCAGACAAAAAGGTGATAAAGAGAATACCACCCTCACTCGGCCAATCAGCTCTCAGCCACAGGATCTAGTGACCCACAGACTTTTGTACAAGTATGCAAAAGATAACACATTTTATAATAAGATGAAGAAAGCTTGTTGTGGTCTGATTTTTTCACAACATTTTACTTGTTTTTTTTCTGTTGGAACAAGCTGTTTATTTAAAAATTGCGTATAATAATGCGTATTAACCATAGATAGTAAATATTAAGTATTAACGCACAGAGAGTTCTGGAAAGTGCACCTGTCACTCTTGTGAGGGCGTACTGCTGCTTCCTGTTGTGGCTTGTTGTTGGTGCATTTGTGCACAAAACGACAGACTTTGAACAAACTCCGAATGTGTGAGCTCAACTGCATCATAACTGTAAGTATAGATATTGGGATAATTTCAAGAGTTCACATATGCTTTTTAAGATTCTCAAAAAAATCTCATTGTATAAGACTGTTTTCACCAAATTTGTATTATTTATATTTTAAAGTAAATGGGAAGTAAATAATATGTTATTACTCTGATTTAATTCAATGCAAACAGGCAATGTTGGTGGGTTATGGATTGTTCCAGGTTCATAAACACATAAACACATTGCTTGTGACCAATAATTCATGAATTATGATACACACTAGGCCTGCATGATCAATCACAATTGAATCAAAAAATAAAATATTTCTTTGCAGTTAACATAAGGGATTATAGATAAGCAAAACATTTCTTGCATTTGTGAAAATGTCTCTTGACTTGGGTTTATTTTGAATCTTTGTCCATGGAATGAGTGTCTTTGGTCTTCTTGTCGGCAGAAGCATTATTTTCATGTATGGACAACTGACAAAATGTGCATGTTTGAACTATGGTGAGAATTGTATAACGTTTTGAAATGTGTTGGATTGTGTCATGGCTTCATATGTACACTTTTTTAACCCCTTGAACATCAGACTTTTCTAACATTCAGAATATCAAAAATTGCACTGGAATCACAATTTTGGTTAGTAATATTGCATTTTTTGTGAAAATTGAGAGGCCCAAAATTCACATATTAATAATTACAACAACTACAAAGAAAAGCTAATGTTAGGTTTCCTCTGTCCAGCGTGTGTTTTGTTCAGCCTCTCAGCACCATGTCCATAGACCCAGCGGCCAACCTGCCTTTCTTCTACGGCAGTATCAGCCGTGTGGAGGCTGAGCAGCATCTGAAGCTGGCCGGGATGGGAGATGGCCTCTTCCTGCTGAGGCAGTGTCTACGCAGCCTGGGAGGATATGTGTTATCCCTGGTCTGGAAGCTGCACTTCCATCACTACTCTGTGGAGAGGCAGCTCAACGGCACCTTCTGCATCGCAGGGGGGAAGCCTCACCGTGGTCCCACGGAGCTGTGCCACTACTACAGCAAAGACCCAGACGGGTTGGTGTGTGTGCTGAAGAAGCCCTGCCTCAGAACCCCTGACACCCCTGTGAGGCTGGGGGTGTTCCACAGTCTGCAGGACAACATGCTGCGGGAGTATGTCCGCCAGACATGGAACCTGGAGGTAAACAGCCATCTGAGATGAACGTGTATGAGAGCAAAAACAGGGCCCACTGAGAATAGATATACTAACTCTTTTATGTAGTGCGTTCAGATTCAGATTCAGATTCAGATTCAGTTTATTTGCCATTTGCAGTAAAAACACCACATTGGAATACATTAGCAAAAAGTCACCAGTGTGGACAGACAAATACAGACATAAAACAACATTAAAAGACAAAAATAAAACAAATAAAACAGTAAACAAATGTCACAGTGAAATCGATCGACTAAAACAGTTTCAAAACAAGTGCAAATCATTAAAGTGCTCTGTTCACACTGATAACAGCTTGTGGATAAAAACTGTTAGCGTAACGAGATGTCCTGCATCTCAGAGAGCGATATCTTCTGCCAGAGGGAAGAAGCTGGAACATGGCTTTCCCAGGGTGGCCAGAAGAGTCATTAACAATCCTAAGAGCTTTGTTTAAAAGTCTGGATTTATAAAGAACCTCCAGAACAGGAAGCTCACAGCCCACGGTCCTCTTTGCAGAGCGGAGCACCTTGTTTAAAGCTCTCTTTTCTTTATCTGTGATGTTTCCAAACCACACAGACACAGAACCAACAAGTAAACTCTCAATGGTGCAGCGATAAAAGTTAAGCAGAATCTTAGAGTTAGTGGTAAGTTTACGCAGGAAGTAGAGACGCTGACGAGCTTTCTTAACGACCCGGTCAGTGATTTGGACCCATTTCAGGTCGTTAGACAGAGTTAAACCCAGAAACGTGCACTCCTCTACGATCTGCACCTGGGAGTTGTCGATAGCAACAGGAGTGTGAGAACTGTTACGACTGAAGTCGTAGACCAGTTCACATGTTTTGGATGCGTTCAACTGGAGGTTGTTAGTTTGACTCCACTGAACCACATTTTGTATCTCTGCTCTATAAGAGGATTCATCATTGTTACTGATGAGACCGATGATGGTGGTGTCATCAGCATATTTGATGATCAAGTTTGAGTCAGAGGAGGACACACAATCATGAGTGTACAAAGTAAAAAGCAAAGGACTCAAAATACATCCCTGAGGAGAACCAGTGCTCACAGAAACAACATCTGAAAAACAGTCATTGATTTTCACTCTCTGAGATCTGTCAGTTAAAAAGTCAAAATCCATTTACACATGGCAACACTTAAATCGAGAGACATGAGCTTTTCAATCAGTTTACCTGGGACAAGGCAGTTAAAAGCAGAGCTATAATCAATGAAAAGCATTCTCACGACAGATTTACTAGTGTCCAAGTGACTGTAGACAGAGTTCAGAGCAAAGGAGATGCATCCTCCACACTCCTGTTCTGTCTGTAAGAAAACTGGAGCGGGTCAACGCTCACAGGGATCTGGCTCTTAATGAAGTCCAGCACAAGCCGCTCAAAAGTTTTCATAAGAACAGACGTCATAAGACTGAGATATGTAATTTATATGATTTATTTTAACTTGTAGCTTTTGTACTACAGTAATACATCACTTTTTTTCGAATTTTCTCAGTGCACTGGATTTTGGTCAGGCCTTAGAAAAAAATCAAAAAAATCAAACGTATAGTCATAAGCAGCCCTTTCCTTTGCAAAAGTCTGCCATGGAGCCCCAGAGAAGAGATATCTGCACGTGTGTAAATAGTATTCCTCAAATTAGAAAAATTGAATAGTTTTTGAAGACATACAAAACCGTGGGGCTTTTACTTTTTTATCAGTGGTATAAAACAATGTGAACGCTCTGAAACTCTGACAGTGTTGCTCTTTGGTTCCAACAATAAAACATGGCCTCTGCTGAGACACAATCCCAGCCCTCTGCATCTTTTTATTTATATTATTTATATTATGTGTATTCATATATTTAACACCGTTTTTAATTATATACTGTCAATACACTAGAATCATTTAATCAGTATTGTGGAGAACCCGGAGTAAACCTAAAACCAGCTCCATATACACTTGGACACTACATTCCCCAACAGTTGTCATAGCACCTGTAAAATAAAGGTATTCATTAAATAAAAAGTTATGAATAAATAAATGAAGCACTAACCCTGTGTGTGTGTGCTGTGAGCAGGGGGAGGAGATGGAGCAGGCCATCCTCAGCCAGGCTCCCACTCTGGAGAGACTGATTGCCACCACGGCCCATGAGAGGATGTCCTGGTTCCACGGGCACATCTCCAGACAGGAGGCGGAGAGGCGGCTGTACTCCGGAGCGCAACCAGACGGAAAGTTTCTGTGAGAAAAATGACTCATGAGCGACGCACCAGCATCGGCATTAGCACTAGACATCCTGTGGAACGGTCCATTTCATAGAATTAAATGCAAATGATTGCATTTCAACTGTAATTGTCTTTAAAGAAATATCCGCTCATGTGAGCTTTCAAACATGTCCGGCACAATAATTTGTGTTTTAATAACAAAAATTATCAAAGATTCAAAGTTGCCAGTGCTGTCCTGGTGCTGCTTATCATTTCAGAACCAGTTGTTTCTTTTTCCTCTCAAAATGCAAAAACCTGGTGCACAAGCACTTTTTAAAAAGTTATCGAGAATGTAATATAAAGTACAGGCTCCAGTATCAAAATTACACATTATTCACGTTAAATTAGTTTTAAATTGCCATGTATAAAAAGGATTAGTTTAACATAAAACAAAACAAAAATTACAGTTTTGTTGCAGCACTGTCCATCAGTTTTGGTTGTTTTAAAGACAAGAGGTAGGACAATTAAAGCGTGGAAGACAAGGTAATTATAATTGTGACACAAAGGGTAATGGAGCATGGGGAAAACTTTCTCCATGAGTACTTCCCTACTGAGTTTCATTGGGCAGGGGGTTTAGCTTTGTCCATCTTTATACAGTGTTTGTATGTGACATCATATTGTTGTACAATGACATCATACTATTACAGGACGGAGACAGGAGCTTTTAATCAGAACCCGAGAGATACACAAGATACATGTTTGTGCAAGAAGTGTCAAATAGTGGATGAAACTATTAACTCTCTAATGAGGAAACAACAGGCTCAAAAAATCAATTTGACAAAATTATTGCTTTGAAATTAGTTTGAGTCAAATGACCGTCTTTATTGTCCTCTGGCATCTGGTGTTGATGCCGAACCAGATGCCAGTATTCAGGCTTATTTATTACATATTCCTAAACATAGTCAATATATTTTTCAAAAGGATCAAAAATATAAAAGATAATGGGTGTGTTTCTTTATTTCTCAGCGTAAGAGACAGAGGTGCAGCTGGAACGTTCGCTCTCTCCATGGTGTATGGGAAAACTGTGTACCACTACGAGATCTTGGAGGATAAATCAGGAAAGTACTCCATGCCCGAGGGAACCAAGTTTGACACCATCTGGCAGGTGAGCGGTCAGCACGTTCCTTTGGTGATAAAAGTGAGGACTTACAATCTGAGATCATATGTTTTCCTTTATACGTACTTATTTGTATTTTTTTCTACTTAAAGATGCGTTCCATAACTTCAGGTGGAGGTTCTGTCACTTCTGTCACAGGTTCTAGAACATGTAATACATATTTTTAGTGCCATCAACAATACAAAATATGTAATTGCGATTAATAGCATTAATCATTTTTCCTGGTCTAATTGTCCCTTGATTTTGTTTAAAAAAAGGATTGGATGAAGCCATAAGCCCCTCCAAAAAGAAAGTAATTGCATTCTCTATAGGTTACTTACAACAGAGCATAGGGCTCACCCGATTTTCTTTTTTTGCCCAACAAGTCAAAAACGAGTCAGATAAAAGTCAAAATATTTTTAGGTTAATCTTGACAAATAATGAGATTAATCTCAATCTAGATCTAAACTTTGATCTACTTTTACAGCAACCATAGAGCCGTGATCAATCTTTGATTTGAGTGGGTGTTTACCATTCAGAATATCACAAAGATTTTACAGAATGCAAATGATATTATACAGCAGAAATGGAAGTCCTCCAATCAGCTATCGCCACAGTGCCTTCTGTAGCTTGGCCTTCAGAAATCAAAACAAGTCACGGAAAAGTACTGCCTTGTGCATATGTTAGAATGATGAGTTAGAAATGTAACCACAGTTGCTTCAAAGTGTCATGAAATCTCTAAAGTGTCATTGGCAGGAAAGAAAGAAATACATAACTGCTTCAATGATCAGTTTAGATAGAAGTATTGTAGATTGTACAAAGTACACATACATCTGCCACGTGTGGCACTTTGGTGCTATGTTTGTTGTGCAATTAAAGAAATACACGCTGTTAAAATGTACTGACAGCACAATACATACTTGTGTATGTGTGTGTGTGTGTGTGTGTGTGTGTGTGTGTGTGTGTGTGTGTGTGTGTGTGTGTGTGTGTGTGTTTGTGTGTGTATGTGTACTATGTTATCGTTAGCTGGTTGAATATTTGAAGCTGAAACCAGACGGCCTGCTCACGTGTCTGGGAGAGGCCTGTTCCAATGGCAAATCTGCAGAAAGTAAGCATCCTGTGCATGTATACATCACAACACCTCAGTCTGAATAGAAAGAATCTCTAACAATACTGATTGTGATTTTACAGACATGCCAAATCTGCCTGCAACAGTAAGTGGGTTTCTTATAAATATCTTAACATCGGATTGTTCAGTAACAGTGACTGTCGCTGCTGCTGTTTCAGAGGAGGGCTGTTCAAAATGGATATGTGCCGCCACCTAGAGGTCAGTCGCTTACTTTGTGCAAACGTTTGATATTATTTACAAATACAATCTATATGATGCGCACACGCTTATATTTTGGTTCTCAAGCTGAGTATCCAATCACATGAATGATGTCATTTAGGTTGTGTTGTGTGAATGGAAGAACGGTCTCTCTAAAAGTTATTTCTTTTAGGTTCAAAAATTGAGACTAATCAGAATTAAATACAGTTTTTTCAGTTGGTTACAATTCAATTCAATGTATTAACCCTAAATCACAACAGTAGTTATCTCAAAGGACTTTAAAAAAAACTTCTGGAATCCCCAACACAAATCAGATAATCAAACAGTTCAAACACAAACATGTAGAACACATAGGTCCATAGGGGGAGTGGACCAATATCCACGAGTGTTGATAAATGTCCATAAATGTTGTAGAATGTCTAGTGTCCTCGATCATCACCCCAGTCCCAGTAACAGTCTAACTGACCCTCCTGCATTGGCAAAGAAAAACTCTGAAACCCAGTGGGAGAAAAGTGAAAAACCTCTGTGAGGTCCACATTGAGAGAGACGGGCTGTAGATCCAGGCTATAGATCCAGGACTTAAGCTACAGAATGAGGACAAAGGCCACGCGGCTCAGGACTCAGGTTGTAGAACAAGGTGGGGTGCAGGACTAAAGCAGCTCCCAGGCGGGGAGGGGGTGCAGCCCATTAGGCAGCCCATGGTTTGGGTCTTTTCTTGAGGCTGAGATTATATTCTCAAAGTAACATTGGCAAACATCCAAACCTCTTATTATCCACCGTCATTAGTCATGTTTTAATTTTTCCAGACAATCTGTGGACCACATATTACTGTCAATGTTAGTTAGTTAGTTAGTTTTATACTTTATTGATCCCCGTAGGAGAAATGTAGGTGTCCAGTAGCAGCAAAAACACATCCATCCACACAATCAAAACAAATGAATTGATTATTCTATAAAGCTAACAATAGTAATAATAAGCAACAACACTTCAGATCACAGTAGCAGAGGTGGATTAGCTGCTTGGTTCGGACTGTTTTCTTTGCTCGAGTCCAAAGTAAAATTATGAATTCTTCATTAGCATGATTCAAAAATGTAGCCCTCCTCCAGTGGATTTTTGGCTGATGCGCTTGGTTCGGACCACCAATCCTCTCCGCTCCGGACCGGTGCAAAATCATGAACACTGTATTGCAGCAACATCTCCGGTAGAAAAAAGCAAGAAAAATTAAATTTGTAAAACTCAAAACAAAAACTGTTTCAGAGCTACTTAGGACTTGCTGCCGTTTCCCGCGCATTCAAAAGTATGTATCAAATGAGTTTGTGTAAGCTCTCAGTCGTAAAGGGATTACCAAGTAACGTGTTCAGTTACTTGGTTCAATCAGAGTTCTCTTATGTGAATACATTTACACTCATTTGTGTATACAATAATTTGTTTGTCATTTGTTATTTGTTATGGTAAATTAGAAAAGCACAAACACATGCGCTCATTCACCACTAGCATCTGTTTAATACATGTATTTTAAGTAATGTCTAAATTGCATTGCCCACCTATAAAACTCCAAACCAAATACCCTCCAGTTCATGTTTAAGGGACAAAAATAACTAATGCATAATGGGTTGATTGAAATTAGAAGAGTCGTGTTCCTGTGTGTTGTCACAGAGCGGGAGCTGCTGCCCATGGACGACAGTGCGTACCACAACCCCCAAGAGCTCAAGAAGTTCCACATTGAGCGCTCCACACTAATCCTGGATGAGGTGGAGCTGGGCTCAGGAAACTTCGGCTGCGTCAAAAAAGGAGTCCTCAAAACGGACAAGTGAGGAGTGAAACATCTTGTGATGTGTGTGATGTGTGATTTTTAAGCTTTCAACCATATTGTTAAAAACGTGTAAAACTCAATATAAAGTTAAATCCAACAGCTCAAAAACATAATAATTTTTTACCAAAAATAGAATTAGGGTAGGATTAATTTATCTTTTTTTTTTTATTTACCTTTATTAAACTAAGAAAGACCACACAGACGATCACAGACCCACACCACAGACCATAAAACAGCACCCCACTGGACATGGACCTTGCAATGGTTGCTGTACGTTGAAATGCAAAATATCTAATATGTTTGGATGTATGTTCCATTTAAATGAACAAATTCATTGTCTTGTTCTGTTTTAAAACAGGCTCATCAAAATCTGTGTTTACCTATTTTTGTAATCATTATTTTAAAAAAAAATTCAATTTGGCTGAGGAAACCATGGAAAAGCCACAGAGAGAGCACACAAACCATCACAGACCACAGGGACCAGGTACATACCATAGAAGTGCATGTACATAGGGAAGTGCTACTGAACAAAGATTCACTTTCTGACTCTTGATTTACATTGAAAAGTAAACTCGTCTAGCTCAGTAATAACCTCTTGTCTCACACTCACAATTAAAAAATGGTTTAGCGCACCCCCTTGTATTGTCCAGCCATATAAGGATAATCCAATTAGATGTCTTCGCAGGGGAAACTCCAGCTTGCCTTAGCAACACGCCTGCCCCCCGTCACAGTGCGAAGCTACCGCCGTGGAAGAAAGGCCCATATTGGCTCCAGCTAGCAGTTCAAATTAACCCCTTCCCCATTAAGGCTAACACTGTGGGGATGTCAGCAATTGGTATAGTCTATGCACACACCATGGAACAACGCCCCTAGTCACCATGGTTCCTGTTACAACCCTATACTATAAGGAAATGAAACATAAACAACTAGATGTATTTGGTAAAGTAATGGCCGTTTATTCTTGGGGCAGAAAAGGTAAAGGTATCGTACAAAACTTAGAGTCAAAAAGAAAAGATAAGTCTTCCATCTATTGGTACTAAATCAAAGTTCTTTTAAAGGTCTCGTAAGGTCACAAGGGCTCAATGTGGTCAGGTCCCCCAATATACATCTGTCTCTCAAGAATTGAGCACTCGTACTGAAAACAAGCCGCCCCGTCCAGACGTCGCACCGCTGTTTTATTGGCCGCGGGCAAGTCAGCTGGTGGCGTAGCTCCTATTGGCCATACAGGAGGGTTCCGGGCGTATGGCAGGGTTCGGGAGGCAGGGCCAAGTTCTGGCGGGAACGAGACAGACTCCCACAGACAGGAGAGATGCACGGGGAGAGGGAGGGGATGCTTGTGCAAACGGCCCAGACCTGGAGACGTAACAGTTCCTTTGGTCCAGACCATGGCACAGGACAAATCACATTTTCGGCCCTAATCCCTACTGCGGATTCATTATCAGTCCATTTGAAGAAACTAAAAGAAAGGGACTCGAGATTATGTTTAAACTATTATTACGTTGCTGTTGTTCGTCTGTGTTTATGAAAAATTTTGATTTGGTGAAACTCTGAGGAACACAAGGGTGACATAAAGTATCGTCTGCCTTAAAAAAAAGAGAGGACAAAGAACATCACCCACCAAGCTGACATATGTTAAAGGGAAATACATTGTATTGCGAACTGGGGGATGGAAACTTCTGATCATGTTCAGAAGAGTTTCTGTTATCATTTGAAAATAATAAAGATGTTTATTTGACAATAAATTGATTCACACACCGCCTAACAATTCACAAATGTGAAAATATGGCACATGAAAAATCTACTGTATTTACTTCAAACAACATTACGGAAATTAGATACTTTGTCAAAAGGGTGCCGATATGACGCCATATTTGAGTGTCTGTGTGTGTATGTGTGTGTTGCAGGGGCCAGGTGGATGTCGCCATCAAAATGTTGAAGAATGACGATAACCGGCTGGTGAAGGAAGAGATGATGAGGGAGGCAGAGATCATGTACCAGCTCAATAACCCGTATATTGTTCGCATGCTGGGGCTGTGTGAAGCAGAGAGCCTCATGCTGGTGATGGAGATGGCCTCTGTGGGACCCCTCAACAAGTTCCTCTCAACCAAAAGGTCTCAACAGACTTCATACTTGAACATATCTGTGCCATCCATATATATAAATACAGTACAGACCAAAGGTTTTGAGTTTTTCATTTTCATGATTATAAAAATTGTAGATTCACACTGAAGGCCTCAACATCATGAATTAACTGATGTGGAATTGTGTATGTACTTAAAAAAAGTATGAAACAACTGAAAATATTTCTTATAGTCTAGGTTCTTCAAAGTAGCTCCTTTTGCTCTGATTACTGCTTCGCACACTCTTGGCATTCTCTTGATGAGTTTCAAGAGGTAGTGATTGAAAAGGTCTTCCAACAGTCTTGAAGGAGATCCCAGAGATGCTTAGCACTTGTTGGCCCTTTCACCTTCACTCTGTGGTCCAACTCATCACAAAACCATCTGGATTGGGTTCAGGTCCGGTGACTGTGGAGGCCAGCTCATCAGGCTCAGCACCCCATCACTCTCCTTATTGGTCAAACAGCCCTTACACAGCCTGGGTGTGAATCTACAGTCAATAGTCAAAAGACACTCATTGAATGAGAAAGTGTGTCCAAACTTTTGGTCTGTACTGTATATACAGTGCCTTGCGAAAGTATGAACCTTTCAACATTTCTCCACATTTCAGGCTTCAAACATAAAGATATAAAAATTTAATTTTTTGTCAAGAATCAACAACAAGTGGGACACAATCGTGAAGTGGAACGAAATTTATTGGATAATTTAACCTTTTTTAACAAATAAAAAACTGAAAAGTGGGGCGTGCAATATTATTCGGCCCCCTTGCGCTAATACATTGTAGCGCCACCTTTTGCTGCAATTACAGCTGCAAGTCGCTTGGGGTATGTCTCTATCAGTTTTGCACATCGAGAGACTTGAATTCTTTCCCATTCCTCCTTGCAAAACAGCTCGAGCTCAGTGAGGTTGGATGGAGAGCGTTTGTGAACAGCAGTTTTCAGCTCTTTCCACAGATTCTCGATTGGATTCAGGTCTGGACTTTGACTTGGCCATTCTAACACCTGGATACGTCTATTTGTGAACCATTCCATTGTAGATTTGGCTTTATGTTTTGGATCATTGTCCTGTTGGAAGATAAATCTCCTTCCCAGTCTCAGGTCTTTTGCAGGCTCCAACAGGTTTTCTTCCAGAATGGATTTAGCCATCTCCCCTGTCCCTGCTGAAGAAAAGCAGGCCCAAACCATGATGCTGCCACCACCATGTTTGACAGTGGGGATGGTGTGTTCAGGGTGATGAGCTGTGTTTGTTGAGCTGTGCTTTTACGCCAAACATATCGTTTTGCATTGTGGCCAAAACGTTTGATTTTGGTTTCATCTGAGTAGAGCACCTTCTTCCACATGTTTGGTGTGTCTCCCAGGTGGCTTGTGGCAAACTTTAAACGAGACTTTTTATGGATATCTTTGAGAAATGGCTTTCTTCTTGCCACTCTTCCATAAAGGCCAGATTTGTGCAGTGCACGACTGATTGTTGTCCTATGGACAGACTCTCCCACCTCAGCTGTAGTTATCTGCAGTTCATCCAGAGTGATCATGGGCCTCTTGGCTGCATCTTCTCCTTGTTTGAGATGAAAGTTTGGAGGGACGGCCGGGTCTTGGTAGATTTGCAGTGGTCTGATACTCCTTCCATTTCAATATAATTGCTTGCACAGTGCTCCTTGAGATGTTTAAAGCTTGGGAAATCTTTTTGTATCCAAATTCGGCTTTAAACTTCTCCACAATAGTATCTCGGACCTGCCTGGTGTGTTCCTTTGTCTTCATGGTTCTCTCTGTGCTTTAAACAGAACCCTGAGACTATCAAAGAGCAGGTGCATTTATACGGAGACTTGATTACACACAGGTGCATTCAATTTATCATCATCAGTCATTTAGGACAACATTGGATCATTCAAAGATCCTCACTGAACTTCTGGAGTGAGTTTGCTGCAGGGGCCGAATAATATTGCACGCCCCACTTTTCAGTTTTTTATTTGTTAAAAAGGTTTAAATTATCCAATACATTTCATCCCACTTCACGATTGTGTCCCACTTGTTGTTGATTCATGGCAAAAAATTAAAATTTTATATCTTTATGTTTGAAGACTGAAATGTGGCGAAATGTGGAAAGGTTCAAGGGGGCCGAATACTTTCGCAAGGCACTGTATACATATATATATATATATATTTCTTCCCCAACACAAGTGGAAAGGCTCTCATATAGGGCTCGTCAGCCCAAAATATGATCCATGCGTATTTTGGCCGACTTGGGTTAATGGCTTTTTTAACGCATTTAACTTTGTATTTATACAAAATAACACATAAAATAACATGACTTTTGAACAAATGGTTTGAAGAAATGCTATGTGGTCCCCTCATGAGCGGGTGGCAGTGAAACAAATGTTGCATAGGGCCCTCGGAAAAGTAGAACTGTCTGTCTGAAATGTTGACACAGCACATTGTGCATGTTGGTTTATGCAGGGACAGTGTGACGACCGCGAACATTGTGAACCTCATGCACCAGGTGTCTGTAGGCATGAAGTATTTGGAGGAGAAGAACTTTGTGCACAGAGACCTGGCAGCTCGAAATGTCCTGCTGGTCAAACCAAACTATGCCAAGATCAGTGACTTCGGCCTGTCCAAGGCTCTTAACGCGGATGAGAGCTACTACAAGGTACACAATCGCACACCTGCCGGAGAATGGAGAATGCCTCCAATCACCATTTCATAAGTGATTGGGCCTTACTTCAGGGAATTCAGGACGGTTCACTTAACTGACTGTTGAAGAAATTAGTTAAAGGTTTTAGTTTATTTGTCATTATGTCTACAGTGCAAATGGCGTGTGTTTTTTTAACCCGTGTCGACTTTTTACCAGAGGGGATACAGAAACGTGTCAAAATACATCAGAGGGTATCACATTATAAAGGACTATGGCAAGCTTATCCTCCATGTTGAGCAATATAAAAAAGTCCCAAAAAATTTACAAGGAAAACTAGATAAAATAAAGACTTTGCAAAAGCCTAGTGTCAGGTGCATAGCAATGGATTGTACATAACTTGGATTTGACCTGGTCAGAGGAGCCAGGCGGGAGCAGTGGTGTCATGGTGTAAGAGAATATAAACTGCGGTGATGGTGCAAATTAAATGTAATGGTAAAGTAACATGTTACAGTCTCGTGGTGGAGGAAAATGGCCTCTGAAGTGGTACGCTCCCGAGAGCATCAGCCATCACAAGTTCTCCAGTAAGGGCGACGTGTGGAGCTTTGGCGTCACCATGTGGGAGGCCTTCTCTTATGGGGGAAAGCCATATAAGGTCAGTCACAAATCACCAAACTGTTTGTTTGTTTGTTTGTTTGTTTATTCGGTCATACAAATTATCATTATTTAGACATAAAAGACAATCAAAAGAGGACAAGGTTACAAAAACAATGAATCTTATGTCAGTAATGTACATGCTTTCACATAGATTTACAAACGCAGTTGGTTACTGTAAATAGTGGTGTTTATTTTCAAATCACATTGAATCTATATATATATATATATATATAAATATATATATATATCTATATAATATATATACATATATATATTTTTATGGATTGTATTTATGTGTGGTTGTACCAGAAACTGAAAGGCCAGGATGTGTTTGACTTCATCAAGAGTGGCCAGAGGCTTGAGTGTCCGGCGGACTGCCCGGAGCTCATGTATGCTCTGATGCTAGACTGCTGGATCGCTGAGTAAGACACAACATACACATTTACATATACTGTGTGTAAACAATATAATCCATGCTCTGATAGAAACTTTAAATAATAGAAAAACACAAATGCAGTGCAATTTGCACAAAGCAAAGTTAAAAATAGAAAAAATAAATTAATCAAGTGGTTGCTAAATCACGCTATACAATAATAATAGCTCATAGATCATTACAATAGCATTATGCAGCAAAATATATATAATATAAATAAGGCCAAGCGGGAAGGAAAACAGCAGAGTTTGTTGCACTAAAGTGTGGATTTAAAGAAAACCAAAGGATTTTAGAAGATACAAAGTTCAGGATGACAAGGGACACTAAAATCCCCACAAAATCCGATCTTTATGAAAGCTGTAGGTTCTCTGTCAGCTGAGGTTGAGATGTTTTAGTTTACATTGAGTTCTATGGGACTTTTTTCTGGGTAGCCCACGTGATTTTAGGCTGCAATACCACGGGCACCCCCTGTGCACCCCCTGTGCCCGTGGTACAGCAAAATCACAGCAGCCTGCAGCCTAAAATCACAGCTATAATGGGACAGCTAGTAATAGCCTATCCAGTTATTATTATAGATCCATGAACATGAGCCAATTTGACTTTAACGTTTTACTGTTGCAGCATCCTTGTGTAAACGGCACATGAGAAGTTCTATCATGTTCTAGCAATGTTATTTCATTTAGCATTTTTTGCCGCAGACTTGACAAACGGCCCGACTTCAAGAAGGTGGAGGAGAAAATGAGATCCTTCCACTTCATGATATCGAACCATACTGGTGGGGAAGGAACTGCCACGAAGGCCCTGGACTAAAGGAAACAGAAAGTGCTCTGTCCCGGGTCCCAACAGAGCCACAAAGAGCCTTTGAACCAGATGGAAGACAACAGAACGTCTGTGCATCAGCACCAATGGACTCAAGCAGAGAGTTCTTTGTGTCAGAAAAAAGAGGGAACATTGAGTTTTAATCATGTCACGGCATTGTTCCCAGTGGTGGCCATCTGGGAATTTGCTCAACCTCAGTATTTTTTACTCTGAACTGAAAGTAGCAATATGAGTTTAGATATTTCTTTCTGGTAGATTTGTCTGGACAAAATGGGTTTACTGTTTGGATTGAGAGATGTAAGTCTGACAGGCCATTGATTTATATATTATATTTATCAATTTAACTTCTAATTGTGTGTGGGATTCAGATATGAGAATTAAATGATATGGTCCTTTTCTTGATAAAAGATAATAATTATAATTGAATAATTTTAGTGCTATTGAAAACCCATCTAGGTTCAGATAAACAGTTATCTTGTTTATTGTCATCATCTCTGCCATTACAAAACATTATTTTCTACAAAAGTATAATGGGAGGAGTTCAGAGAGCCCATGGAGCATGACTATTGGTCGTCTTCGAAGAGATTCTGGCAAACCGTCCGGTGCCTCAGGAGGGGGAAGCGGTGCTTTGGAGAGCTGCTGACTCAAGTGGGGATATTGTCGGTTCTCCATAATCCCCCCGTCACGTCAGGCAGAGGTTGAGGATGTTGGGGGGATAGATACCTCCATCTTCCTGGCTGAGGTTATAGAGGTGGTTGGCAGCCTCCTTGGTGGCGAGGCGCCGGGGTGTACTTTGTGGATCTGGAGAAGGCGTTGGACCGTAGTAAGTCAGACCTGTTCCCGGTGCATGATGGTATCCGCCAAGGCTGCCCTTTGTCACCGGTTCTGTTCACTGTCTTTATGGACAGAATTTCTAGGCGCAGCCAGGTGCCAGACGGGGTCCGGTTCGGGGACCACAGGATTTCATCTCTGCTGTTTGCGGACGATGTTGTCCTGTTGGCTCCAACAAACCAGGACCTGCAGCATGCACTGGGACGGTTTGCAGCCGAGTGTGAAACGGCTGGGATGAGAATCAGCACCTCCAAATCCAAGGCCATGGTGCTCGACCGGAAAAAGGTGCCTTGCCCTCTCCAGGTGGGTGGGGTGGTCCTTCCTCAAGTGGAGGAGTTCAAGTATCTCGACGTCTTGTTCACGAGTGAGGGAAGGATGGAGCGTGAGATTGACAGGTGGATCGGTGCAGCCGATTGCTGAATCGGACCGTAGTGGTAAAGAGGGAGCTGAGCGGAAAGGCAAAGCTCTCGATTTACCGGTCAATCTTCGTTCCCTCCCTCACCTATGGTCATGAGCTTTGGGTAATGACCAAAAGGACAAGATCGCGGATACAAGCGGTCAAAATGAGCTTTCTCCGCAGAGTGGCTGTGCGCTCTCTCAGAGATAAAGTGAGGAGCTCAGTCACACGGGAGGAGCTCGAAGTAGAGGGTTCTCCACGTTGAGAGGAACCAGTTGAGGTGGCTCGGGCATCTGAGTATTCCAGTGAAGCTTCTTCCTTCTGTCGATGCCGCTCCCAGCTTGTCTCGGTGTCATGGTTCTCACACAGCTGAGGAACAACTATGTATTTTATGAAAGTGCACCAAAACACTCTTTTGTCTCCTGCGTTGCAACCTGGTCCCGTCAGTGCTTGTTAGAAGTAGGAAGAAAGAAGGTCTTTTTTCTTTGTATTAGCGCTGGCTCAAAACAACAAAGGACAAAAGCACTGGGTCCAAGATAATGAAGCATCTATAAAGACAATGTAAGTGGGGCACTTTAAGAGATGAACCAGCATCGAACTTCCATGAGGAAAGAAAAGAAGACTATTAGAAGCAGATCCTTTCAACTGAGTGTACTTTCGGGACAAAAAAGATAGAGATCTACTCCTTTAAGGGGAAAAAATCAGAATAAAATAGCTGTTGTGAATAGTAGTAGCCAAGACACCTCTACAAGACCATCTATCCAAACCAAAACCCACCCATCTACCAGTACTAGTATTGGTCTTGGCTCTGACTTGGGACCTGGTGATCTTGAACCTGGTAAGTTAGTTGGGAGGGTTGGTTGGTATAGGATGGGTCATGTTAGTGTTGGTCTTGGCTACTTTCTATTCACAAACAGCTATTTGTTTTGATTTTTTCTCGCTTAAAGGAGTCAGCTCTTATCTTTTTTTGTCCCGGAAAGTAGCGCTCTGTGGTGAAGGATGCTGCTTCTAATGAGCTCTTTCTTTTCCTCATTGGAAGTTCTGAAGCTGGTTCCATCTCTATAAATTGCCCCACTTACAGTTGTCTTTATATGATTCAATTTTCTTGGGACCAGGTGCTTTGTCCTTGTTTGTTTTGATGCCAGCGCTAATACAAAGAAAAAAAAGAACTTCTTTCTTCCCTTCTTCTAACATTGCACTGACTGGGGACACATGTTGGCACGGAGGAGCAAAGTGTGTTTTGGTGCATTTCATAAATAAACATAGTTGTTCATAAGGCTGTGTGAGAACCATGAGCACGTGGTCTAGCTGGAGCCGGCATCGGAGCAGAGGGAAGAAGCTTCACTGGAAACTGGAGATCAGAAGTCTCATTACTGGGGATAGATATTGTTGCTGCTGATCCATGTTGTTACCTAACACTTCAGGTCCGTTTGTAAGAATCCAGTCTGACCTGTTTTGTGTTTTGGTGTTTTACTACTGCCACGTCAAGGGAGTGCATGTTTGTGTTGTGTTGTCACTCACCGAGAGGAGAGAGTGAGAGAGTCCAGAGGAGAGAGGACCGAGAGAGAGACCCGAGAGAGACCAGAGAGAGAGTCCAGAGAGAGACCAGAGAGAGGACTGGAGTGAGACCGGAGATGAGCGAGGAGAGCCAATGAGAGACAGAGAGAGTTGGAGAGAGAGCAAAGAGAGAGACCAGTGAGAGACAAAGAGAGAGACCAGAGAGCCGGAGAGTGAGCAGAGAGAGAGGAGACCAAGAGATACCGGGAGAGAGCTGAGAGGGGACCAAGAGAGACCGGAGCGTGAGCGAGAGAGTGGACTAGGAGAGACCAGAGAGAGGCGGAAGAGAAGAGACAGAGAAAGACCAGATAGGGACCTAAGCTGCTGGAGAACAGAGTTAAGACCAAAAAGATACCCAAAAGGGACCAGAGAGAGCGGGAAAAGATGACACAGAGACGGAGGACCAGTGAGAGAGATCCCCAGTGACAGTGAAAGGCCAAAAAAAATAAATGAGAGACCAGAGGGGGTGTCGAGGGCCAGAGCGAAACCAGAAGAGACGAGAGAGAAACCAGGACAGTACCAGAGAGAAATCAAAGAGGATAAATGGACAAATACATATATGCAAAATGTAAACAATTAGATTTCAGAGGTTTTGAGGAAAGATACATCATGCCTGTATTGTGGAGCTGAATAGAAGTTGGCTGGATGACACAGTGAACTTGCCTTTCTTCCATTATAGACCTATACCGTCCCCATTTCGTTTCTTTTTGTTAAATAAATTACATATGAATTGACTGACATGTATGTGCGGTTCTGTCTGGACCCATGACTGCGGGAGATGGGAGAGTTTTGTTGTTTTTTTTTATTTTTTTCTGCCTTAACTGCATGGAACCATCACGTGTGGCTGTGCAGACATGGCGCTGAGAGACCGTAACTCAGAGCTCATTTACGCACTCAGTGGGGAAAATCGCTCTCTACGATTCACTAGATAGATGAACCCAGCAGAAAACGAGCAAGGACTGTCGGAGAATCGCCACGTAATGTCAGCCATGGAGATCAAATGGGTTATTTACTAAACCTGTTCTTAATTACTGTAATATGTTGTGTGATGACGCGCGTTTCTTTTTATTCTTCTTTTTTTTAGGGCAGCAACAACCGAGCGTTGGCGCATGCATGTGACTGTAGCAGTGAGCATGTGACTGCGAGCCGGCCGTAGAGAGGACGCGTACTCCACTGTCTTTGTAAATGTAAATTAGTATTTTTCTTTCAGCTCAGTTGGAACGCTCCGCTCAAAATAGCATACGGGGTTTTTTTTAGACGTGGGACTTGTGGGTTGACCGAGGCCCTGATTCGGGAACTCGCTGCTGCCTGCTGCTGCTGTATGTGCCATCATTTCATTCATTCATTATAAACAGGGGCGATCAATCATTGTAATTTACAGTTGTTGTCATGAATACACACACAACACACACATTTTAGAGGGTGCTTTCATTTTTGTCCAAGCCCAGGATGGAGTGGTATTTATGCTGTTTTTCCTGTTCTATTCTCCCCAAATCTCTTCTGCAAGACACATGTCCAGTCAGTGTGCTGTGTCCAGAAATCCAGGAAATCACCTGTGAGTGTCCAAGTGCTGCGTTCCAGTGATGCGTGTGTGTGGTGTGTATGAGGAGTCTCAGGAGTTGTGTGTGTGTTGGTGTTGTGTGTGGTGTGTGTGTATGGGTTCACAGTGTGTCGGTGTGTGTGTCTCTGCAACCTTTACCAGTTTTGCTGAGTGGGATATTCCCTTCTTTTACATCCTATGCAGGTGTCGTCCATGCGTCTGCGCTATCTCCCGTGCACTGTAGAAGCAGAGCCACTCCCGCGCGCTCCAGGGACAGGTTGTCAGCCCAAAAACGTGACCAGAATAAATTTGCCAGAGTGATTTGTCATAAATATTGCTAGCAGCAGGAGGGGTGGGGGGGGGGGATGAAGGGGGAAAGCCCAAATAAGCACTCACTGATATGGCTTACTAGGTCAAAAATTGTATAAGTCGCGAAGAGATGGCGGTTGTTGCTTCTTTTGAAATAATTCCCATTCAGCATCCAAGCAAGCGCGGACTGACCCTTTTTCCACGCGGGGTCCTGTCTTTTCTTGCGTTATGCCGAGCTTTGCTGGTAGGAGAGAGCGCAGAGCGAGTACATGGGTGGTGGAGGTGACAGAGGCGCGCTGAGGAGAGAGGAGACGAGAGAGGGCGGGGAGTTGAGGGGGGAGGGGGCCACTGCTGCCGTGCTGCTGTTGTGTGTGCTGGTGGCTGATGGGTTAAAAGCGACTCACAAGGACGACTGAGATTCCTTCAAGGTGTTGAACGGCAGCTGTGTTTTTATTTTACGAGATTTATCACTTACTACTTACCTCTCCCCCCTGCTTGCTCCAATACTTGATTGGAACTGAGTGGGTGGTCCCTTTTTATATCTTTTTACGATCCTAAAAAGAAAATCTGATCACAATAGATGTGACAGAGGTCAAACGATACAAGTTAAAACTATTCTGACTGTGTGGTGAGATGATACCAAACTAGAGAGAGTTAGAGCGGAGATGGAGAAGAGACCAGCGAGAGACTAGAAAGAGACCAGCGAAGAGAGTCCAGAGAGGGCTTATAGAAAGAGATAGAGCGACCAAAGAGAGGACAGAGAGACTAGATAAATAGACTGAGAGAGATCTGAGAGAGGACAGAAATCAAATCAGCGTTTTTTGTGACTGGTTCATTTTACACTACTGATGATGTGTTGTGGCTGAGTGAGTAGTAGTAATCCTAAACCAGAGTCGGGACCAGACTGGACTAGAAAGAGACAGTGAGAGAAACAGTGACTGAAAAAACCCCACAGAGGAGAGGACAGAGGAGGTCTGAATAGAGAACAGAGATGGATTTTTATCCTTAGTCTAATTTATGCGCGCTTGAAACTTAGGTAACCGCTTTAAGACTTGATTCGATAAAACTTATAAAAGTAAATATGAAGTGTTGTACTTCCAATTCTGGGATCCTGCGGATTTTGGATTTTAAATGCGCTGTTTCGGAATCTGAAACTAGAAAAAACTTGAAATGATATCAGAGAAAGGAGAATAAAGCTGGGGTGCATGGAGTAATCTTCTCTTAGCTATTCCAGCTGTTTGTCCCGGACACAAATAGAGTATTGTGGAGTAAAATGTTGTCACAGTTCGCTAACTCTTAATCAGTTTTCAGATTGACTGTGGTAGAAGCCAGGTGCTCGTCAGTCCATAATATGGGCCGGGTGTAGTTTTGCTGCGCAGGTGACGTGGATTTCAGTCTAATTTCATTACTCACATTTATCGGTCGATGAAATAATTGATGGCGTCTAGAATGGGTTTACATTAAAGCGGTGATTAATGATTTTAATAACTAACTTATTCTAAGCAAATGGAAGTTTCTCACCCATGATCTGTTCTTTTAGCAGGTTACCGAAGTTTGTCCTCAATCCAAAAGGACTTCTTTGGGAAGGAATTCTCAGGATCGCGCGTTGGAGATTATAAACCTATCCTTGATACTAACTCATTAAAACAATCTAAGGTTCTGTTCTGATGTGAAGGGCGGCAGGTCTATACGACCCTGCTGAGGCTTAACGACCCTAACTCATTAGCATGTCACAGACCTTGTCCAAGTTAGGGTGTTGTTTTTTCAGGATGTCGTCATAGATGCGTGTCTCCTTGTTAGAGAAGGTTTTGGTTTTCCTCACAAAAATGGCTTCTTTCACCCTCTCTCAAACAATCTTCTCCCGTGCCAGAATTTTAAACCTCTGTAAATGGAGGCATTGAGGTTCTGTTGAGTTTGTTGGTTTCTCCAATATAGTGGTCAGTGCACTCTCTTCTCACTACATTATGAAATACACACTTTGTTCTGTTTGTGTTGGGTGTTTTGTCTTTGGGATGCACTAAGTTCTGTCTTAACGTTGTTGAAGGTTTGAAAATACAACAGGGATTTTGTGTTGCTAAGAGTCTTTGTAGTTTATCTGAAAACTCCCGACCTCATACGGTAAGGACACCTTCTCCTCCTACTTTCTGTCAGTTGTTGGACTGTGTCTCTGGCCTTCTCGTCCTTTGGGCTTTAGTAAAGACCAGCTTGGGGTAGCCCACATCTGGAAAGTGCTCTCTGATAGATGTGTGGTTTTCCTCGTTTCTTTTCCTCCGAGCTTGTGGGGACCTGTGTGGGCTCGGTGTTGAAGCTTTCTAATGACCCGGAGTTTGTGTTGTAGCGGAAGATTTGAAATCAAAGGCCATATGTGGTACTGATAATGGTCAGTGGTGAGTGGAATTTCTGAAGACCTCAGTCTCTATTTGTCGTTCTCAAGTATGAGGACCTACGGGTTTGGGCTTTTATATAGCTCAAAGACGAGGAAAGGCAGAGGACACAGCATTGCCTCACATCTATGACGCATCTAAAAACCAACGCCCTAAACTTGTGCAAGGTTCACTGGACATGCTAATGATGATTGAGTCGTTAGACCTCAGCAGGGTCGTTAGACCTGCTCCCTTCTACATCAAACTGACTTAGATTGTTTATGAGTTAGTTTCTGATTAGCTTTTTAAATCGCCAACGCGGGTCTGAGAATCATTCCTGAAGAAGTCCTTTGGATTGAGGGACGAAACGTCGGGAAAACCTGCTAAAAAGTACAGATATGGGTGAGAAACCTTCCTTTGCTTAGATTAAGTTAGTTAGTAATTTAATTAATCACAGCATAATGTAAACCTTTCTAAGCACATCAAATTATTTCATCGACCATTATGTGAGTATGTATTTGACTGAAAACCAACGTCACTGCGAGCAAAACTACACACGGCCCTTATTTTGACTGACTGCGCACCTGGCTTCTACCCCAGGCATCTGAAGATCTGATTAAGATTTTCGTATCTGTGACAACATTTTTACTCCTCAATACTTTTTGTGTCGGGACAAACAGCCTGGATTAGTATGAGAAGATGACTCATGCACCCAGCTTTATTCTCTGATTCATTTTCAAAGTTTTCTAGTTTAGATCTCAAACAGAGCATTTTAAAAAAATTTCATCACCGCAGGATCCAGATTGGAAGTACAACACTTTCATATTTATCTTTTTATTATGTTACGAATCCATTGTCTTAAAGCTGGGTTACCTAAGTTTCAAGCCGCAACAGATTTAACTATGTAAACCATCTCTGTTCTCTTTTGACCCCTTCCTCTGGTCTCACTTGGTCAGTCATGTCTCTCTCTGTCTCTTTCTAGTCCAGTCCTTTTGGGTGTGGGGTGGGGGGGGGGGGTTGGGGGCCCCCCCCCCCCCCCCCGGGGGGCCCCCCCCCCCCCCCCCCTGGGGGGGTGCGGTGTCTCTCTCTGGTTTTAGATTTACTACTGCAACAACACATCATCAGTAGTGTAAAATGAACCTTGTCTCAACAGGTCTGATTGAATCTGTCTCTCTCATATCTCTCTCTGGTCTATTGCTAGTATCTCTGTCTCTCTTTGGTCTCTCTTATCTCTTTCTTTAGAGCCTCTCTCTGGTCTCTCTCTCTGGTCTCTTTCTAGTCTCTCGCTGGTCTACTCCAAGTCTCTCTTGATCTCTCTCTAGTTGTGTATCTCCACCACACAGTCAAATAGTTTTACATGTATCGTTTTGACTCTGTCACATCTTTGGATCAGATTTTCTTTTTAGGATCGTAAAAGGATTAAAAAGGACCACCAACTCAGTCAAACAGTTTGGGAGCAGCAGGGGGGCGAGGTAAGTAGAAAGTGATAAATCTCGTAAAATTAAAACACTGTGCGTTCACCTTGAGGAATTCAGGGTCGTCGACTTGTGAGTCGCTTTTTACCATCACACACCTGCTGCAGCAGCAACAGCAGCAGGCGGCAGCAGTGGCACCCTCCCCCCTCTAACTCCCCCCTCCTCTCTCTCTTCCTCAGCGCGCCTCTGTCTCTCTCTCTCCCTGTACTCGCTCTCTCCCCAGCAAAGCTCGGGCATAAGCAGAAAAAGACAGGGACCACGCGTGAGAAAAAGTCCTGTCGCGCTTGCTTGGTGCTGAATGGGAATTATTTACAAAAGAAGCAACAACCGCCTTCTCTGCGGACTATATCATTTGTGGGACATAGTAGCCATATCAGTGAGTGCTTAGTTGGGCTTTCCCACCTTCATCCCCCCCCCCCACCCCTTCCTGCTGCTGCAATATTTATGACAAACACTCTGGGCAAATTATTTGGCACGTTTTTGGGCTGACAACCTGTCTGGAGCGCGCTGGAGTGGCTCTGTTTTATGCTTCCTACTGTGACGGGAGATTGCGCAGCGCCATGGGACGGAAACCTGAGTAGGATGTAAATGAAGGGAATTACACTCAGCAAAACTGGTAAGTTGCGAGACACACACCAACACACACTGTGATACTCTCATACACACCACAACAAACACACACACCACACACCACACACTCACTGATATTTCATACAAACACACACACGCACATGGACGCAGCACTTGGACACGCACAGGGTGATTTCTGGATTTCTGGTCACAGCACACTGCTGGGCATGTGGGTGCTGCAGAAGAGATTGGGAGAATAGGAGATGGAAAAAACAGCTTAAATACCCACTCCTATCCCGGGCTTGGACAAAATGAAAAGCACCTCTTATAATGTGTGTGTGTGTGTGTGTATTCCACGCTACACAATATCCGACGGTCGGGGGGGGGGGGGGGGGGGCAAGGGGTTGAGGGGGAGGGGGGTGTGGTGGTGGTTTTTTGTGGGTGTTTGAGTTTGATTGCGAGGTTGGGGGGTTGGGTGAAAATGAAAACATACGAAAGATACGGACAGAGCATCACTAACGGCGGTTCTGAAACAGAGCACTGGGGGGAGGACCAGAAAGAGCCCCTGTGTGTGTGTGGGGGGGACGCTACGCAGGGGAACAGGGGGGAGCGGGTGGCCGCACGGCCGGCCCAGGAGGCGAGTGGGCCGATGGGGGGGGGAAGCAAGAAAAGGCCAACAAACGAGACGCAGCCCGCCCCACCAAGGCCCGAGGGGGGGGGGGGGGGGGGTGGGGGGGGGGGGGGGGGGGGGGGGGGGGGGGGGGGGGGGGAAAGGGGGGGGGGGGGGGGGGGGGGGGGGGGCGAAGAGGCCACACGCGAGGAAAAGAAACGCCGCGGGGGGGGGGGGGGGCGAAAACTTTTGTTGTGTGTGTGTGACGGGGGAACCGCACAACGGCGAAGCACCAAAACAAAACGAAGCCTACCGGAACGGAGAAACCAGGCACGCAACAACGGGGGGGGGGGGGGGTGCCTGGGGGGCACCATAAACCATGAAAGAAGGAACCGGGGGAAAGAGAACCACCCAAGAGAAGACAGGGGGGGGGGGGGCCGGCCGGGGGCTAGAATAGAAAAAAGGGGGGGGGGGGGGGGGGGGGGGGGGGGTGGGGGCACCCCGACCACCCAAACGCCCAGGTGACCCGACCGAAGCAGGCACGAGAAGGGGGAAAGCCCACAACCCAGAAACGGGGGGGCCCGGGGGGGTGGGGGGGGGGGGGGGGGGGGGGGGGGGGGGGGGGGGGGGGGGGGGAGGGGGGGGGGGGGGGGGGGGGGGGGGGGGGATATATACACCGGGGATGAAAGGAAATAGGGGGGGAGGGACCCGGCCACCCCCTGGGGCAGCCCAGACTCGGCGCAGCCAAATCGCCAAAAGGGACACACAGCCGGCCCATCTATATATCCCCCACGCCCGCAGGCGCCCGACAGTGGGAGGAGGGGGGACTGGGGGGGGGAAGAGGGAGCGAAGCGAAGTAGGAACCGCGGCCCACGACGAAGGGGGGGCGCCGCACAGCCCGTAGCCGAGAAAGGAGTTGAAACGCGGACACCCAAACACCAGCAAGAAGGGGGCAGACGGAACAGGCGGCAGAACACGGGGCGACCGTTTGAGAAGGGGAACAGAACCTCGCCCAAGAAGCGGGCACCGAGCAGGCGCGGCTGGTGATGAGGCCCGAGGTTAGGGGTCGCCAGGCGGGGCCCCCGCAGACGCAAGGGGGGGGGGGAACAGAGCCAGGGGGGGGGGGGGGGGTGCCCACCAGAACCCGCGGGGGGGGGGGGGGGGGGGTGGGGTGGGGGGGGGGGCAAGAATGGGTGCGCGCGACGAGAAACAGAGGGGCAAACGCCGTGGATAGAAAAAGCCGGGGGGGGGGGGGGGGGGGGGGGGGGGGGGGGGTGGGGCGGTTGCGAAAACCGAGGGAGCCGAAGGAGACGGAAACCGGTGGGAGAGTCGGGGCCCGACGGGGGGGGGGGGGAGAGGGGGGGACAGGGGGGCAAGTGTGTGCCTGTGTGCTGACGGGGGGGGGGCACGGGCACACCAGAGACGACGTGAACATTCGCGTGAAGGGGGAAAAACCAACGGGGGGGGCACAAAGGGACCCGTCAACGAAAGGGGGTGCCGCAGAGGGGGAAACGTGCCGCGAGGCGCGGAGCCCCGGGGGGGGGGGGGGGGGGGGGGGGGGGGGGGGGACGGCCAGGCAGAAAGGGGGGACCAACGCCGGCGGGCGAAAAGGGAGGGCGGACAAGTGGCCGAGCCAATGAAACAGGGGGGGGGGCAAAGGGGGGGGTAAAAAGGCAGAAAAGGGGGGGACCGCCACGACGAAAGAAAAACCGGAGCGCGGGACAGGGGGTGGGGGGGGGGGGGGGACAGAGGAGAGCCCGAAGAGACAAGGCCTCACGGGCCGAGGGGTGGGGGGGGGGGGGGGGGGGGGGGGGGTTGGACCCATCCCCAAAAGGGGACAGCTCTCGGCCCGTGGCAATGGGGGGGAGAACGGAAGCAAATAACCACCCACACACGATACGGCGTCGGCGACAAACCACCCCGTGAAACAAACGTAGAGGGGGCTGCCTCGACCCCCGGGGGACAGAGACGGGGCCAGACCCGTGAAAGGGTAACCCCAAAACGGGGTCTAACAGACATACTTTGTTTTTCAGGACGGGGCGCGGGAGACCGAAACCCGAGCCAGACGAGCGGGGGGGGGGGGGGGATTTTATTTATATTTTCGCGCGTCGCCAAGGGGGGGGGGGGGGGACGGTGGGAAAAGTGGGGGGGGCCAACAAGACAACACGGTGAGAACCCGGGACTGCACCCTCCACGGCGGCCCAGGGAGGCCAGGGGGGGGGGGTGGGGGTCCAAAGCTACGGCCAAACCCCGAAAACCAACCACACAAAGAAGAACAGCCCAGGCAAGCAGCCATAAAACAAGATGCTACACGCACAACAAAGCTGAGCCCAGAACAGAATGCAACCACGGCCAAGCAGACCGGCCGGACGAAACGGGGGCCAGAACCCCCACACACGGTAGACCACGTATGGGGTGGGGGGGGGGGGTGGGGGGGGACAACAGCATAACGAAGGAAAATCGCGAAGCCAGGAGAGCTAAAAGGCATGTTCCGACGAAGCGCACCGCCGGAGGCGCGATCGGCAAACCACACCCCCCCGTGTGTGTGCAGACATCGGACAAGTGGGGGGGGGGAAAAAAGCCAAACAACAACCCACGAAGGAAAAAAAACCGACCCGGAGCGCCGTGAAGAGCCGAACCACAACAAAAACGGGGGGGGGGGGGGGAGACGAAAGGGGGCGCATAAGGAAAAACGGGGGGGGGGGGGGGTTAGATATATATATGATTAAAGAGACAATATGGTATTATATATGAATATAGAGGGACGAACGAGCGGGAGGCAGAATCGACCAACAGGGAAGGCCCGGGACGAGAACGGGGAGCCAAAAAACACCGAAAAACCCTGGCAACCAAATATGTGGGAAAAGACCCACAGGCGACCCAGAACACAACAAGCCCGCACAGACGCGCAGGGTGGGGGAGGAAGGGAAGGGGGGGGGCAGGACCAACACACGAGCAGGCCCCACAGGGTGAAAGGAACAACGGACCGCTCCCGCGGCAGGCGAGGGGAGAAGAGAAATCAGCAACGGGGAAACAGAAGCCGGTTAACCCCAGGTGGGCAATGGGGGGGGGGGAATATGGGGGGGGGGGGGGGGAATAATTAATAAGTACACGCCACGCAGCGTACAACGGAAGAGAGAACAATCAAAGGCCAAACATATGCGCGGCAGAGGCGATGTTGAGCATCCAACTATAGGCGACCAGAAACCGGGAAGGGCCGCCTAGGAGCGGAAAGACGAAGCGGGCGACGAAGGAATCCGACCAGTAACACGCCGAGACCACCAAGGGAACACATGGGAAGCAGGGCCGAACACCCCCCGGGCGGCAAACGGGTGGGGGGGGGGGGGGGGGGGGGGGGGGGGGGGGGGGGGGCACACCTGGGGGGGGGGGGGCGAAGCCCTGCACAAAAAGAGCCCCCGAAAAGAAGCAGCGACACCCCCAGCGGAGGAACGAGGCTTGCAATAACAAACGAGCCCGGAGCAAAGAGGAACCACCGGACCCCCCCCCAAGGGCCCGGCAGGAAAGACGGACCGGGGGGGGGGGAGAGGGGGGGGGGGGGGGGGGGGGGGGGGGGGCGACGATGTGGGGGGGAGTGTTTGGGGAGGTTGTGGGTTGTTGTTTTTGGGGTGGTTGAGGGAGGTAGAAAAAGAGCACTGTGTGTGTGTAGGCGGCCGAACCCCCATCAAGGCGCCGCCAAAAACACCTACACATATAAGACGGGGGGGGGGGGGTGTGGCGGGGGTTAAGGCCCAGACGCCAGCCCGGCGGGGTAGAATCGAAAGCAGGCGGGGCAACAAAGCGGAGCCCACCGCCCAACACCACCGCGGGGGGAGGGGGGGGGGGTGGGGTGGGGTTTGTGGGTGTGGTGTTGTTTGTGGGGGGGGGGGGGTGGGGTGGGGGGGGGGTGTGGGGGGGGTGGGGTGGGTGGGGGGGGGGGGGGGGGGGGGGGGGGGGGGGGGGGGGGGGGGGGGGGGGGGGGGGGGGGTGGGGGGGGGGGGGGGGGGGGTGGTTTTGTGGGTTAAAAATAGTAAGGGTATATATACAAGGGAACGGAACCCCACCAACGACCGAACAACGGTGTGTACACACCTGACACGAGGGCGGGGGGTGGGAGAGGAGGCCCTGGGCGGTTGTGTGTGGGTTTTTGGTGGGTTGTGGGGACAGGTCGAACAGATCCGGCACCACCGTCGAACCTCACCCACAACCACCGACCCAGAGCTGAACACACCACACAGCCCGAGGGGGGGGGCCCGGACAAACGCATGGCACCGACAAAGCACCAAGAGGGGGGGCCAGGGGGTGCAAAAGCCCACAATTTTTTTAAAGGAGGCAGCGGGGGAGGACCAAGGGCTAGGAAAAAAATAGGAAAGGGCGCGAACCGTCAAAGTGGTGCGCTGTCCGCCCCAACCAACCACCGGTGTGTAAAACTAGGGGAGCCAGAGGCGAACCCAAACTCCGCAGACAAAGGGGCCCGAAAAGAAAGGGGGGGGGGGCCGCCCGCGAAACTCCACCGGGACGCACTAGCGCCACCAAACAGAACCTCCCCATGGGGGGGGGGGGGCACGGGGGGACAGGCAAGAGCCGAAAAAGAAAGGGCCCCATGCCACCCCCCCCAAGCGAAGATACTACTCGGAGAACGAAAGGGACGAAGGCGTGGGGGGAAACCGGACAACGGGGGGGGGGCCGGAAAAGGACCCACCAGAGAAGGCGGGGGCCAACGGACAAGCGCGCCACACGCAAGAACCCAGGGGAGGGGGGGGGAGACCCAAAGGGAAGCACCGGCGGGCAGACGCCTGGGGAGAACCGAATAAAAGTGGCAGAGCGGGAGGCCAACGTGGAAGTGGGTTGGGGGTGGTGTGGGGGGTTGGTGGTTGGTGGGTGGGGGGGTTGTGTTTTGGTTGTGTTGGTGGTGGTTGTGTTGGGGGGGGGGGGGGGGGGGGGGGGGGGAGGGGGGGGGTGTTTTTTTGTAGGGGGGGGGGGGGTTTTGGTGTTTGGGGGGGGTGTGTAGTTAATATATACACACACCACAGAGCGGGACAAGTGGGGGAGGAATTACAAAAGAACCCACCCCAGGGGGGGGGGGGGGGGGGGGGGGGGGGGGGGGGGGGGGGGGGGGGGGGGGGGGGGGGGGGGGGGGGAAATTGGGGTAAATAAGATTAAAGGAGTGGTACCCCCAAACCCCCCCCCGAAGCAAGTTGGGCCCCGTCCAGAACGGGGCGGGGGGGGGGGGGGGGGGGGGGGGGGGGGGGGGGGGGGGGGGGCGGTGCCGTGGCGGGGGGGCCTAGGGGGTTGGGGGGGGGGGGGGGGGTGGGGGGATAAACACAACACACAAACCTACACGAAAGGGGGGGGGGGGGGCACACCCCACATCAAACAGACTCGGGCCGTGCGAGGCGGCGAATGAAAACGCACAACAAGCAGTGGGACGGAGCGCACGCGGGGGGCCACCCTGGCAGCGCCCCAACGATAGAAAGAAGCGGGGGGGGGGGGGGGTGAACAAAGGCGGGGGGGTGGGCCACCCACACGGTGCACAGGAGACAAAGACAGCAACGGGATAAGGGACAGGGAGGACAGGCGGCGAAAACCGGGGGGGGGGGGGGCAACCGAGAACGCAGGGGGGGGGGGGGGGACAAACTCAGATACAGTAAAGAGGGGGGCTGGGGGGACGGAACAACGCAAGACGCCCAACCGGGGTGGAACAAGGACAGAGGAGGGGGGGCTCGAATGGGAGAACGACGGGAAAGGAAAAGGACCCGGGAGCAAAAGCATGAGTCGACGGCCCGGCGAGCAAGGACAAAACCGGCACGAGAGAGCAAGAGGCAGCAAGCAACAGACACAACCCCCCGGGGGGGCCGGGGGGGGGGGGGGGGGGGGGGGGGGGGGGGGGGGGGGCGGGGGCGGGACCGGGCACCGCTGGGGCGGGGGGGCCGGGCGCGGGGGGGGCCTCGGCCCACCAACACGTCCGGAAACGGAGGGGGGGGGGGGGGGGGGGGGGGGGGGGGGGGGGGGGGGGGCCAAGCCCGCAGGGAGGCCACCCAAAAGGAAGGGGGGGGGGGGGGGGGGGGGCAGGGAGCGGCGCCGGGGGGGGGGGGGGGGGGGGGGGGGGAGGCGAGCCAGAGGGGGGGGGGGGGGGCGCGAGGGGCCAAAGGCGCGCAGCCGCCGGGCGGGGGGGGACCGGAGACCCAGGCGAAAGGAGGGCGCGGGGAGGGACAAAAGGGGGGGGGGGGGGGGGGGGGGGGGGGGGGGGGGGGGGCAGAGGGGGGGGGGGGGGGGGGGGGGGGGGGGGGGGGGAAAAAGCAAACAAAAGGAGGGGGGGAGGGGCACCACACGGGCGCCACCAGGGGGGGGGGGGCGGGGGCGGGGGGGGGGGGGGGGGCGGGCGGGCGGGGGGGGGGGGGGGGGGGGGGGGGGGGGGGGGGGGGGGGGGGGGGGGGGGGGGGGGGGGGGGGGGGGGGGGGGGGGGGGGGGGCCCCGGGGGGGGGGGGCGCGCGCGGGGGGGGCGGGGCGGGCCGGGGGCGCCGGGGGCGCCCCGGCGGCGGGGGGGGGCCGGGGGGGGGGGGGGCCCCGGGCCGGGGGGGGGGGGGGGGGGGGGGGGGGGGGGGGGGGGGGGCGGCGGGGCGGGGGGGGGGGGGGGGGGGGGGGGGCGCGGGGGGCGGGCCGGGGGGGGGGGGGGGGGGGGGGGGGGGGGGGGGGGCGCCGGCGCGGGGGGGGGCGGCCCGCGCGGGGGGGGGGGGGGGGGGGGGGGGGGGGGCAGGGGGGCGGGGGGGGGCGCGGGGGGGGGGTGGGGGGGGGGGGGGGTGGGGGGGGGGGGGGGGGGGGGGGCGCCGGGGGGGGGGGGGGGTGGGGGGGGGTGGGTTGTGGGGGGGGTGTGGGGGGGGAGAGGGGGGGGGGGGGCGGGGGGGGGCCCGCGGGGGGGGGGGGGGGGGGGGGGGGGGGGGGGGGGGGGGCGGGGGGGGCGGGCGGGGGGCCCGGCCGGGGTCCCGCCGGGGGGCGCCGGGGCGGGGGGGGGGGGGGGCCGGCCCGGGGGGGGGGGGGCCGGGGCGGGCCGGCCCCCGCTGGGGGGGGGCGGGCGCCGGGGGGCCGCGGCCGGGGGCGGCGGGGGGGGGCGGGGCGGCGCGCCCCCCGGCCGGCGGGGGGCCGGGCCGGGGCGGGGCGGGGGGGGGGGGGGTGGGGGGGGAGGGTGGGGTGAGGCGCCCGCGGGGGGGAGGCCGGGGGGGGGGGCGGGGGGGGGGGGGGGGGGGGGGGGGGGGGGGGGGGGGGGGGGGGGGGGGGGGGGGGGGGGGGGGGGGGGGGGGGGGGGGGGGGGGGGGGGGGGGGCGGGGGGGGGGGCGGGGGGGGGGGGGGGGGGGGGGGGGGGGGGGGGGGGGGGGGGGGGGGGGGGGGCGGGGGGGGGGGGGGCGCGGGGGGGGGGGGGGCCGCGGGGCGCGGGGGGGGGGGGGGGGGGGGGGGGGGGGGGGGGGCGGCGCGGGGGGGGGGGGGCGGGGCCGCGGGCGCGGGGGGGGGGGGGGGGGGGGAGGCGCCGGGCGGGGCCCGGGCGGGGCGGGGGGGGGGGGGGGGGGGGGGGGGGGGCCGGGGGGCGGGGGCCCGCGGGGGGGGGCCCGCGGGGGGCGGGGGCGGGGCGGGGCGGCGGGGCGGGGCGGCCGCGCCGCGGGGGGGGGGGGGCCGGGGCGGGCCGCGGGGGGGGTGGGGGGGGGCGCGGGGCGCGCGGCGGGGCGGGGCGCGGGCGGGGGGCGGCCCCGGCGGGGGGGGCCCGGCGGGGGCCGCGGCCCCGGCGCCGCGCGGGGGGGGGCCGGGGGGGGGGGGGGGGGGCCCGGGGGGGGCGGGGGGGGGGGGGGGGGGGGGGGGGGGGGGGGGGGGGGGGGGGGGGGGGGGGGGGGGGGGGGGGGGGGGGGGGGGGGGGGGGGGGGGGGGGGGGGGGGGGGGGGGGGGCGGGGGGGGGGGGGGGGGGGCGGGGCCGGCGGCGGGGGCCGCCCGGGGGGCGGGGGGGGGGGCCGGGGGGGCGGCCCGGGCCGGCCGGGGCGGGGGGGGGGGGGGGGCGGGGGCCGCGGGGGGGAGACCCTGGGGGGGGGGCGGGCCGGGGTGGCGGGGCGGTGGGCCGGGGGCCCCGGCGGCCCGGGGGGGGGGGGGGGGGGCGGGCGGGGGGCCGGCGGGGGCGGGGGGGGCGGGGCGGGGCGGGGGCGGGGCGGCGCCGCGGCGCCGGCCGCGAGGGTGGGGGGGGTGGGTGGGGGGGGTGGGGGGGGGGGGGGGCCGCGGCGGGCGGCGCGCGGGGCGGGCCGCCGGGGGGGGCGCGGCCGGGCCGGGGGCCGGGGGGGGGGGGGGGGGGGGGGGGGGGGGGGGGGGGCGCGGGGGGCGGGCGCGGGGCCGGGGGGGGGCGCGGGGGGGCCGCGGGGCGCGGGCGGGGGGGGGGGGCCGCGGGGCGGCGGGGGCGCCCCGCGGGCGGGGCGGGGCGGCGGGGGGGGGGGCGGGGGGGGGGGGGGGGGGGGGGGGGGGGGGGGGGGGGGGGGGGGGGGGGCGCCGGGGCGGGGGGGGCCGGGGGGGCCCGGGCGCGGGGGGGGCCGGGGCCGCGCGCCTCGGCCGGGGCGGGCGGGGGGCGCCGGGGGGCGGGGGGGGGGGGGGGGGGGGGGGGGGGGGGGGCGGGGGGGGCGGCGCGGGGGGGGGGGGGCGGGGGGCGGGGGGGGGGGGGGGGGGCCCGGGGGGGGGGCGGGGCCGGGCGCGGGGGGGGGGGGGGCGCGGGCCGGCCGGGGGGGGGGCGGGGGGGGGGGGGGCGGGCCGGGGGGCCGGGGGGGGGGGGGGCCCCCGCGGCGGGGGGGGGGGTTGGGGGCGGGGGGGGGCGGGGGGGGGGGGCGGGCGGGGGGCGGCGGGGCGGCCCGGCGCCGGGGTGGGGCGGTGGGGGGGGGGGGGGGTGGGGGGGGGGGGACCACACAATGGGAGCCTACAACGGCCACGCGCGAGAGCCCGACAAGCGACGAGCCGTAGGGGGGGGGGACGGGCCCCGGGGCGAGAACCACAAGGGGGGGGGGGGGGGGGAGGAGACCAAACGAAAGACAGGCAAAAAGGGGGGGGGGGGGGGGGGCGGGGGGGGGAGGGGGCACCATAGTGTCCCGCAAACTGCCAGACAAACGGGGGGATCCGGGCACCAACCACCAGGGCGCTTAACGCGGGGGAAAAAGAGCACGGGGGGGGAAAAAAGGGAGACAAGAACCCAACCAACGGAAAAAGGAAACCGGGGGGGGGGGAGACGGAAAGGGGCCAGGGGGGGGACCCGGGGAAAGGGGCCCGAAGCCCACGGAACGAAGAAAGAGCGGAGGGGGGCCACACAACGGAGCGGCAAAAGCCAGGCTATCACCGAGGGGGGAAGTACACACATAACACAAGGACGGACCGCGGGGCGGCACGCGGGTATGGCAGGGATGGCGTCCGGGGGGGACGGGGGGAAAAAGACAAAAAAGATGGAAAGGACACCGGGCGGGAAAACCGAGGGCGGAGGCCACTGGGGGGGGGGGGGGGGGGGGGGGAAGGCGAGCCCAGGCACGCCCGGATCGGGGGGGGGGTGGGGGGGGGGGGGGGGAAAACAAGGGGGGAGAGCAGGGAGACAAAGCCTCCGGGGGGGGGGGGGGGGGGGGGGGGGGGGCGAAGCACGAGAAGGTGAACCCCCAAGCTACGGATCGCCAAGGGGGGAGGGGGGGGGGGGGGGGGGGGGGGGGGTGGCCGCCGAAGGACATAACACAAAGACGGGGGTAAGCCGAAGCCCGGGCGCACAGCGGAAGCCGGACGAGCAACCACATGGACGCAACCAAGCAAGAAACACCGGGGCGGAAGACGCCCCCGGCAAGAGGGGCGCCCGCTGGAACGCCCCAACCCCGGGGGGGGGGGACCCGGGGGGGGAGACCAGGACAGTGGGGGAGGAGCTGACGGGGGGGGGGGGGGGGGGGGGGGGGGGGGGGGGTGGGGGGGGGCGGGGGGCGCCAAACAAACCGGGGCGGTCAAGCGACACAACCGGGGGGGCGGGCGGGGGGGGGGGGGGGGGGAATAATCCAGACCCCAGGGGGGGGGGGGGAGGGGGACCGACGGGGGGGGGACGGCACAGCACGACGGATCGGGGGGGGGGGGGGGGGGGGGGGGGGGGGGGGGTGGGGGGAGCGGGAAGGGGGGGGGGGGGGGGGGGGGGGGGGGGGGGGGGGGGGGGGGGGGCGGCGGGGCAAGAACAGCAGACAGACCGGGGGGACCGCGCGGGGGGGCAACTAAGGCGACGACGGGCCCGGGGAGCATATCAGGGGGACCAGTAAGGGGGGGGGGGGGGGGGGGCGCGGGGAGAGACGACACAATCAAAGAATATACGAACCACTGTCGGCCAACGCTACCGACAACAAGGGGCCCAAGCGCCGAAAGGGAACCAACAAACCGCGAGTGGAGAGCCCGGACACAAAGTGGACACGAGAGGCGAAAGCCAGGCAAAAGGGGGAGGAGCAAGAAGAACCTCAGCCCAATACTGATATAGACACGGACACAGCCAGGGAACAAAGCCGCCACCGCCTAAGGGGCCAGAGGGGGAGAAAGCCCGAGACGAGCCCCGGCCCGAACAAAGGGGTACTAGGAAGGATGACAAACGGGGGGGGGGGGGGGGGGGCACGCAGGAAGAAGCGAGGGCGGCACCCAAAGTGGGAAAAGGTCCCAATCAGCTGCACGGGGGAAGAGGGGGAACCAGAGCGGGGGGGGGGGGCGGGAAAAAGCTGACACAGAACAACACCCCGGCCTCATGCGGGGGGGAGGGGGGGGCGGATACGAACAGAATCGGCACAGAAGGAATTGAACCCACAAATCACCAAACTTTTTGTTTGTATGTTTGTTTGTTATTCCGTCATACAAAATATCATTAGTTAGACATCAAAAGACAATCAAAAGAGGACAAGGTACAAAAACAATGAATCTCATGTCAGAAATGTACATGGCTTCAAATAGAATTTACAAACGCAGTTGGTAACTGTAAAACATGGTGTTTATTTTCAATCACAATGAATCTAATATATATATATATAATAAATATAAAATAATAAATATAAATTAAAATATATACATATAATAGTTTTTTTATGGATGTATTTGTGTGGTTGTACCAGAAACTGAAAGGCCCAGGATGTGTTTGACTTCAGCAAGAGTGGCCAGAGCTTGAGTGTCCGGCGGACCTGCCCGAGCTCATAGTAATGCTCTGATGCTAGAATGCTGATCGCGAGTAAGACACAACATACACAGTTACATATATCTGAGTTAAACAATATAATCCTGCTCTGATAGAAATTTAAATAATAAAAAACACAAATGCAGTGCAATTTGCACAAAGCAAAGTTAAAAATAGAAAAATATAATTAATCAAGTGGTTGCTAAATCACGCTATACAATAATAATACGCTCATAGATCATTACAATAGCATGATGCAGCAAAATATATATAATAGAAATAAGCCAAGCGGTAAGGAAAACAGCAGAGTTTGTTGCACTAAAGTGTGGATTTAAAAAAAACACAAAGAGTTTAGAAGATACAAAGTCAGATGACAAGGGACACGAAATCCCACAAACTCCGATCGTTATGAAAGCTTTAGTTCTCTGTCACTGAGTTGAGATGTTTTAGTTTACATTGAGTTCTATGGGACTTTTTCTGGTATCCCACGGGATTTTAGGCTGCAAATACCACGGCACTCCCCTGTTGCACCCCCTGTGCCCGTGGTACAAGCAACAATCACAGCACCTGCACCCTAAAATCACCAGCTATAATGGGACAGCTAGTAATAGCCTATCCAGTTATTAATTAATAAATCCATAACATGAGCCACTTTTTGACTTTTAGACTTTTACTGTGTTGGCAGCAACCTTGTGTAAACAGGCCCATGAAGAAAGTTCTATCATGTTCTAAAATGTAATTATAACATCTTAGCAGTTTTTGCCGCAGACTTGACAAACGGCCCGACTTCATGATGAGGATAAAATCGAGATCCTTCCACTTCATGATCATCGAACCCATACTGGTGGGAAGGAACTGCCACGAAGGCCCTGGACTAAAGGAAACAGAAAGTGCTCTGTCCCGGGTCCCAACAGAGCCACAAAGAGCCTTTGAACCAGATGGAAGACAACAGAACGTCTGTGCATCAGCACCAATGGACTACAAGCAGAGAGTTCTTTGTGTCAGAAAAAAAGAGGGAACATTGAGTTTTTAATCATGTCACGGCATTGTTCCCAGTGGTGGCCATCTGGGAATTTGCTCAACCTCAGTATTTTTTACTCTGAACTGAAAGTAGCAATATGAGTTTAGATATTTCTTTCTGGTAGATTGTCTGGACAAAATGGGTTTACTGTTTGGATTGAGAGATGTAAGTCTGACAGGCCATTGATTTATATATTATATTTATCAATTTAACTTCTAATTGTGTGTGGGATTCAGATAGAGAATTAAATGATATGTCCTTTTCTTGATAAAAGATAATAATTATAATTGAATAATTTTAGTGCTATTGAAAACCCATCTAGGTTCAGATAAACAGTTATCTTGTTTATTGTCATCATCTCTGCCATTTACAAAACATTATTTTCTACAAAAGTATAATGGGAGGAGTTCAGAGAGCCCATGGAGCATGACTATTGGTCGTCTTCGAAGAGATTCTGGCAACCGTCCGGTGCCTCAGGAGGGGAAGCGGTGCTTTGGAGAGCTGCTGACTCAAGTGGGGATATTGTCGGTTCTCCATAATCCCCCCGTCACGTCAGGCAGAGGTTGAGGATGTTGGGGGGATAGATACCTCCATCTTTCCTGGCGAGGTTATAGAGGTGGTTGGCAGCCTCCTTGGTGGCGAGGCGCCGGGGTGTACTTTGTGGATCTGGAGAAGGCGTTGGACCGTAGTAAGTCAGACCTGTTCCCGGTGCATGATGGTATCCGCCAAGGCTGCCCTTTGTCACCGGTTCTGTTCACTGTCTTTATGGACAGAATTTCTAGGCGCAGCCAGGTGCCAGACGGGGTCCGGTTCGGGGACCACAGGATTTCATCTCTGCTGTTTGCGGACGATGTTGTCCTGTTGGCTCCAACAAACCAGGACCTGCAGCATGCACTGGGACGGTTTGCAGCCGAGTGTGAAACGGCTGGGATGAGAATCAGCACCTCCAAATCCAAGGCCATGGTGCTCGACCGGAAAAAGGTGCCTTGCCCTCTCCAGGTGGGTGGGGTGGTCCTTCCTCAAGTGGAGGAGTTCAAGTATCTCGACGTCTTGTTCACGAGTGAGGGAAGGATGGAGCGTGAGATTGACAGGTGGATCGGTGCAGCCGATTGCTGAATCGGACCGTAGTGGTAAAGAGGGAGCTGAGCGGAAAGGCAAAGCTCTCGATTTACCGGTCAATCTTCGTTCCCTCCCTCACATATGGTCATGAGCTTTGGGTAATGACCAAAAGGACAAGATCGCGGATACAAGCGGTCAAAATGAGCTTTCTCCGCAGAGTGGCTGTGCGCTCTCTCAGAGATAAAGTGAGGAGCTCAGTCACACGGGAGGAGCTCGAAGTAGAGGGTTCTCCACGTTGAGAGGAACCAGTTGAGGTGGCTCGGGCATCTGTTCAGGAAGCCTCCTGGACGCCTCCCTGGGGAGGTGTTCCGGGTACGTCCCACCGGGAGGAGGCCCCGAGGAAGACCCAGGACATGCTGGAGGGACTATGTCTCTCAGCTGGACTGGGATTGCCTTGGGGTCCCCCCGGACGAGCTGGATGAAGTGGGTGTCTGGGCGTCTCTGCTTAGACTCCTGCCCCCCGACCCGGCAACGGATGAAGCAGAAGAAAATGGGAAAAAAGTATAATGTTGTTTAAGTGATACAAAGACAATATAATTGTACTTCCTGGCTTCGATCATGACAGCACACTGTTTTGTACAGTTTTGATATGCTTTGTTAATCATAGAATCATTCATGCAATTCTGTTTCTTAAAGGTCCCATAACACGCTTTTTGACTTTTCTCTGCTTTTTGCAAATAGGTGCTATTTGGCCTTCATACATATGCCCAGAGCCATTTTTTAATTGATTCTGTCAATCTTTAGTTAGAGAGCGAGCTTTCTCCATCCCCCTCGAGAGGCAGTGAAACACTCGGGTCCACATTGAAGATTACCACTCTGATGACGAATATAATGCTCATACGCCCGTTTGTTTTGTATTTAAAATAGTTTTTAAATAAAAAGCAAAGGAAGGTTTCTCACCCATCATCTGTACTTCTTAGCAGGTTTTCCCAACGTTTCGTCCTCAATCCAAAGGACTTCTTCAGGGAATGAATTCTCAGACCGCGCGTTGGAGATTTATAACCTATGGGTGTGGTTAGCCACACCCTAATCCTGATACTAACTCGTAAACAATCTCAGGTCTGCTTGATGTGGAAGGGAGCAGGTCTAACGACCCTGCTGAGGCTAACGACCCTAACTCCTTAGCATGTCACAGACCTATTGTCTGCTGGGATGCTCAAGTGGAGTGCAGGTCTCACCCCTCCTAACTCATTAGCATGTCACTGACCTTGTCCCAAGTTAGGGCGTTGTTTTTAGGATCAATCAATCAATCAATCAAATTTTATTTATAAAGCGCTTTTCACACAAAAGATGCAACACAAAGTGCTTTACAGTTTGGTTAAAAACAATCCCGCCGACCCAAGACCCCTCCCCCAGACCACCCAACAGACCCACCCCAAACCACAGACAAACACACACACGCGCTCATGAACACTCATACACACACACACACACACACACACACACACACACACACACACACCAGTAAAACAATAAAACCATGATGAGAGACTTGGCAGGGTTCAGATGCAACCAGCTGAAAAAGCGTCATCCAAGGAGCCGTCTGCACCAGGAGCAGAGAGCCGCCTGCAGCCACAGGGGACGACACAGGACCCAGAGGAGACCCGAAGCCAAGGCTCCAGGCCCCCGCCAAGTCCAAGATTCTGACCCCTGCAGCCACACAGACCACCGCTCCCAGTGCAGAGGGCTCCTCCAGAGGAAACACTGGGTACACTAAAAACAATACAATAAGTAAAACACTAAAATGTGAGACTAAAAGGAACACACAATACATGAATAATAGAATAAGCAATATAATAAATAATAAATAATAAAAGATAAATAGAATGGAATAATAAAAACTAATCAAAAGCTAATCTAAAAAAGTGTGTCTTGAGCCTACTTTTAAAAATATGAACGTTCTCTGCGGCCCTGAGCTCCTCCGGCAGACTGTTCCAGAGACGGGGGCCGTAGTGCTGGAAAGATGCCTCGCCGTGAGTGTGTGTCCTGACTTTGGGGATGGTTAGGAGTCTGCTGCCGGAGGAGCGCAGGGGCCGGGAAGGTTCATAGGATAAAAGCAAATCTGAAAGATAAGAAGGCCCAAGACCATTAAGACATTTAAAAACCATTAAAAGAACCTTAAAATCGATTCTGAAACACACGGGGAGCCAATGCAGCAATTTTAAAACCGGTGTAATGTGGTCCCGCCCCCTGGTATTAGTCAGGACACGTGCGGCCGAGTTTTGGAGTAATTGAAGACTTGCAATGTTCTTTTTGGGAAGACCAGAGAGCAGGGCATTACAATAGTCAATGCGACTGGTGATAAAAGCATGCATCAGCGTCTCCGTGTTGCCCCGAGAGAGAATGGGATGTCGTCATAGATGCGAGGCAAAACAAATCTCAACCCTCCTCCTCTGTTAAGAGAAGGTTTTTGTTTCCTCACAAAAATGGCTTCTTTCACCCCTCTCTCAAACCAATTCTTCTCCCGAGCCAGAATTTTAACCTCTGTGTCATCCACCGTGTGGTTGGAGGCCTTGAGGTGGAGATGAACAGCCGACTGTGGCCCACTAGAGTTTTCTCTACGATGTTGGTAAAGTCGTTTCTGTAGAGTTTGTTTGGTTTCTCCAATATAGTGGTCAGTGCACTCCTCTTCACTACATTTAATTGAATACACTACATTGCTCTGTTTGTGTCTGGGTGTTTTGTCTTTGGGATGCACTAATTTCTGTCTTAACGTGTTGAAAGGTTTGAAATACACAGGGATTTTGTGTTGCCTAAAGATTCTTTGTAGTTTCTCTGAAACTCCCGCCACATACGGTAAGGACACCCCTCTCCTCCTACTTTCTTCTGTCTGTTGGACTGTGTCTCTGGCCTTTCTCGTCCTTTGGGCTTTAGTAAAAGACCACTTGGGGTAGCCACATCTGGAAAGTGCTCTCTGAATATGTTTGGTTTCTCTGTTCTTTCCCTCCGAGCTTGTGGGGACCTGGTGGGCTCGGTGTTGAAGCGTTCTAATGACCCTGAGTTTGTGTTGTAGCGGATTATTTGAATCAAAGGCCAGGTACTGGTCAGTGTGAGTGGACTTTCTGAAGACCTCAGTCTCTAATTGTCCGTTCTCAAGTTATTAAATACTTTTGTCAAAACAGGGTAAACAATACACAATAAGTATGCTGTTTGTTCTTAAAAATGATAAAAAACAAAAAATAATCATAAAAGCCGGGAGGTGATTGACAAATCGAGACAGCAAATCAGCTGCCAGTTCCCAAGTCCGGCTCCGGAGTCCAGCGGGGGGGGGAGGGGGGGGGGGGGGGGGACAGAGGAGCAGACTGCTCTCTGGATCAACCTTTTTGAGTCAAGCTGACGTCACCTCTATAGAGATATCTCACGTGACGTCACGATGCCTCGAACTCGCGGGGCATCTGCCATACTGGAGGACAAGCAAACGCTGTATGATAGTGGCGTGCACCCGGGACCGCATAAACATGTTCAAAATTTTTGCCGTTTTTGGCTGCAGCAAAAGGAGAGACAGGGAAAATAAGTTGTGTTACCGACTGCCAGCCGTCCTTACTTCACACGGCTCCAAAACAGAAGAAATCTCAAAGAAACGAGAGAGAAATGGCACAACCATACGCAACAACAAAAAACTAATAGCCCCCAGAGCGCCCGAATATGCTCGGATCATTTCATTTCTGCTAAGTAAAATCAATTTTATGGCGGATTTAGTGTTATTCCGAAACAAACAGAAGTTTAAGGATAAAACATAACTGTCTGACTGCAACGTGGGGTTGCTCCATAGACTGTAGCTTAGCTTGTAGCATAGCTGTTATATATTTGGTCTCACACAGGACCTCACCCGGTTCACAGGGGATCTGACTTACCGAAGGCCAGCAGACATGTGAACGACTGAGCCGTGCTCGAGGGTTCCCCGTACTAGTATTTATTAATAAAATATACGGCTCCTCACAGTAGACGCAGAAAGCTCCATTGATTTTAATGTAATCTCATTATTTCCACTGCAGTGTAGCCACACATAGATCCATGGTGTAACAATAAACACATTAAATGTTAATCGGAGAATACATTATAGGCAAGGCAAGACAAGTTTATTTATATAGCACAATTCATACACAAGGCAATTCAAAGTGCTGAACAAAACAAGAAAGCATTAAAATCATAAATTATCACAGAACATTAAAGAGAAAGATAAAAATATAAAATCCCTCAGTTGTATGCACAGCTAAACATATAAACTTATACATATACATTCTTAATACACAGAGGTTTTCAGAATTTTCTGTTCACGTTTTCATGAAAAAACACACAAAACGCGACAATATGCGACCGCGGTAAACCTGGATGTAACAATAAACATTAATAATACATTTTAGGACGCATTTCCAGAGGATCTGATTCATGAATTTAGGTTGAGTATATATTTGGGTCACTAACTGCTGAAGTTTCAAATTCTCTGTTCAGTTTTCATGTAGTTCGAGAGAGTTTTAGTTTTGAACGTCCAGTTATAGATAGCTAGCAGGGCTGTTACCATGGATGTATTATATTAACGGCTGTTACTCGCCGAGGTTGTCCTCCAGTATGGCTGCCGTGGCTGCTGGTCACGTGACCGTAGGATCCCTCTATACATAGTTCCCACAGACCAATGAATGTCACATGACCTCCTCGGAGACGCCATCTTTGATGGCACGCTGCTGTGTTTGTGCATTCCATTAAACAGAAGAATGAGAATAAATGTAGATATTCAAACGCAAATTGGAAAAAAAGGGCAACTTTTGAGCAAATAATTGTATATTAATACAATGGCACCACAGTTTAACGTGCTACGGACATGTTTTACATATTTGATCAAATTATGCAGCAAAAATTAACAAGCAATGCAAACATTTCTCAAAAACTTTAGATTTAATACCAGTTGGAGCTCCATTTAATTATTTTAATTATATTAACAATTAATTTAATTAATGCTAATGCCACACGGACATTCTGGATTGCTGTTATTGTTTATTTCCGCGTTTTCGACCGTATGTTTTGGTGAATGGTGGGCAACTGATTTTTCCAGGCGTAAAGAGCAGTTTATTTTATGACACAGATCTTTTTACAGAAGCAATGCTGTTTGTGAACATTGTTTTAGCCCACCATAGAACTATTATTATCTATTTAATACATTTGCGTTGCCCTCGAGAGCCTCGGACGCGACACCGATCCTCCTCATAATAAAGTAATCTAACGCTAAATAATGAAACTCTCAAGTTACCAGATATCAGCATACACAAGTTAGTACTGAGTAAATTACGTCTGTCAACACATTATAAGATACGATACGCACCTGACACAAAGTGCTCCGAGCATATTCTTGCGTGTTTTGAGGGAGTTTCTTGCCTGTTTATCTTCGCAAGCCATAACCTCCGTGGTTGTTCTGACAAAAGCTTAGTCTTCTCACATTCATGAAGTCTAATGATGGGTATACTGTAAAATCCAAGTTTAACGGAACCTCCGGCACGATTTGAACATCCATTGACCCAGCAGGAGATGACCATTTTCAACTTTATCACGACATTAACACGTTTCAGCTTCTTTTTCTATTGTTTTGCCCACAGCATGCCAACACAAATGGCGCCGGGTCGGCAAATCCCCGTATGTAGTGACGTCATGTGGGAACTATGTATACAAGAGATGGCTATAATAATTGAGTGTTGTATGGTGTATCACTCAAATTTTGATCACACATGTGCATAGGATTGACTGTGAAACATGAAGAAAAGCGTCATATTGGACTTTTAAAGCTGGGGTGCATAACTTATTTTGTTTTAGAAATAATACAGGTTATAATTGTAAAAGTAAAAGTAAAATCAGTCCAGAAGTTGCTGTCCTCATCTTATTAGAAAGTGTGCTATCGTTTGTGTACTTGTAAGAGAGAGCCCGGTGAGAATTGTTTGGCTGAGTGAGGGTGGTCCTCTGGCCTATCCTTTGGAAAGTTGTTCATTGCTGCATGTTTGACGCTTAAAAGTAACTAAAAACAGACAGTTTATTTATTATAGAAAAATAATTCAACTTTATATTAATTTCTTTAAAATTGATAAAAGTGAGTAAATACAAATGTCCTAAAGTGGGGGTCATGGGACAGTAGTTTTATTTATAATATTTACAGTCTATGCTTTGGTCATGAGCTTTAGAAAGTGGTTCACAGGCTTTTCCACCACAGGGAGGCGCCTCTGTGTTGACAGGAGCAGATGAAGAGGAACAAAATGGATGTTGTCAGAATTGTATCATTATTACACGATATTATGTTTCTACTTAATACACTGATATTTGTTTCCCATCGAATCTCATTTCATAATTTAGATAACACGTATCCAAATATAGATCTATTTAGCAAAACTCAGCATTTGTACCTGGCCACACTTACTGTACTTAATGACAAGCAAGATGACCATAACAGTATGGGGCCACTTTTCATCACCCTTTTCAAGCGCTGAGGATAAAGATATTATAACCACATCTATGGGATAAAGCTGCTTTATTCTGACACAGACACAGGAAGCTGTTGTTCATGCCTGCGCTTTGATCAGGGGCTAGTTTTCTCTTGCGCAGGGAGGAGTCAGTCGCTGGTTTGTTTAATATAGTGACATTGAGTAAATAATTACCCATTTTAACCAACATGGATTTCTCTTTGACACCATAATGTAGCTTATTATAACGCAAACGTGCTTGTTTTAATGATTTTCAAGTATATTCTGTCTCTATTGAAGTTCGAAAGATCCAACAGGAAGGCGGAACAAGTAAGTTCAGAAAGTAGCTTTGAACTAAGCCTTTTCTTCAGCTCTTCCCCGTTTTAGGCCAAGTGTTTCATGTTTGCGTGATCGTAAGCGTGTAGTAACACTGGTTATGTCAAATAAGGTCAATATTGATGTATCCTTTAGTCGTAAAAGTCTGCAACAAGTATGAGTGTTCGCGTTTGCTGACGGCGTCACGCATAATGTCTCGTGTTATGCGTCAGGCTGTTTAATCTCTGGCTTTTACGCTTGGAACGATGTTATAAGGGCGAAATACAGATAGATGGCGTTCTTTTTGTGCTAATAGTCGTCACAGTTGTCTAATTTGTTAGTAACTAACGTAATAGTGTGGTGTTTGATTTCCATTCCGGGGATTCTTCGGTTTTAAGGCGGAACTTTATAGTCTGGTAATAGGAAATGAGTCACTCCGTGCGTCAAAGCGCGTTGGTAACTTTGTTTGGGGCTTGTGCAGAAGGCAACCAGAGGCCATCGGAGACTTCTGCAGTTATAACAGTGGTTTAAATCCACGCTAACGACGAGATATGTGGCCTAAACTGAAACATGATCTATTGGAAATCCAGTGCGTAAAAAGGCGAGTGGAATGAGTTATTACTGCGTAGTTAAATTGTGATCGCCACGTTATATGTTGCTTTGGTATTGTTTTGAGGATTATCACAGGCCTGTGTCCATGTAAGGCTGATGTGAAGGATTATACTGCTTAATCCGGAAAAAAAAGGAGATTGTAAAAAACACACTCATTTCAGTCATTCCTGTTATCCTTGAAAATCATTGAAACACGTATGACGCATTGGAAGAGGCTAGTTACAGAACATTGTGTCTATTATGATTATCTACTCGTGGGGTGTTTTACAGAACAAATATACAACAGCATTATTTGTGTTAATTTCCCCCTCAAACGTGATGTTGAAGATATTTCCTCAGCTCATGTTATGTGTTAGAAAGTGCAATAATAACTTCATGTCCATAGTTGGAAAATATATGCAGCTTTTGTTATATGCATGTAGTTTCAATCGTTTTTTGGAGTAATTCAAGACCTTTGTGGAATTGAGAAAATAAGCAAGTCGCAAGTATTAAGAGTGTAATGGCTCCAGTTATTAAAAACCCACTACAGTGAAAGTGAAAGAGCTGTCATCGATGATTCAATTAGATTTGGGATCTTCTGTAACTGCAATATTATTTTTGATTTCCAACATACAGTATTTTCTATACCATAAACCATAACCGTCTAAATGGGACCAGCCTTAGAACCTGTAAAATTATCTGTTCACAAATTGCCACTTGACGCTCTCTTCTCTGTTTGCTCCACTCAGGATCAGCACTTGTCTTTCTGGAAATACCTGAAGACCTCCACCATCTTAAATCCTGATTCTCTGGTCAATAATTCACTACCAACCAGCTTCCCAACTTCCCAACCAGCCAGTCTCCCTCAATCCCCTTCCAGCCCTACTGTCACCATGTCCCTGGGCCTCAAACAGGTTTTCAACAAAGACAGGACATTTCGGCCCAAGCGTAAGTTTGAGCCGGGCACCCAGCGCTTCGAGCTCCACAAGAAAGCCCAGGCCTCATTGAACGCCGGGCTGGACCTGAGGCAGGCCGTGCAGTTGCCTCATGGAGAGGACCTCAACGACTGGGTGGCGGTTCACGTGGTGGACTTCTTCAACCGCATCAACCTCATCTACGGTACCATCAGCGACTCGTGCACAGACCAGAGCTGTCCAGTCATGTCCGGGGGCCCGAAGTATGAGTACCGCTGGCAGGATGAGCACAAGTACAAGAGGCCCACCGCACTGCCCGCTCCCAAGTACATGAGCCTGCTGATGGACTGGATCGAGGTGCAAATCAACAATGAGAACATCTTCCCCACTAATGTCGGTGAGTGTGCAGTGGTGGGGTGCGCACGCATGCACACACTATCTTAGGAGGTAACTGCCTACTGCTGCAGCCGGGTAAAGCACAAAATATTCAGGTTCCAAAATCTGAAAGTCCAGAACAAAAAAAGAACAATCATCTTTTGGCAACAATTGGAATCTTAAAAATGTGGAGTCCTCATTTTTATTTATCCTACAGGGATAAATAAAAATGCACCTTTAGCTTTACCTGCTGAGAGGGCGAACCACTCAGCCTTTTAACCAGGCTGTTTCTAGGGTTTCAAATGTTTGATCTGATCTGTTACAAAAACATCAGATTCCCAATTAAATATAAACACTGTATTGTTCTGGAGCCATTGTCCACACTGTGCCAAATGTTTGGTGGTACGTGGCGCAATGGTTAGCGCTTGTGCTTCACAGCAAGAAGGTCCTGGGTTTGATTCCACCTCCAGGCCTTTCTGTGTGGAGTTTGCATGTTCTACCCTCGTACCACTAAAAACATGAACAGTAGATCTAGCATGCACCTTCTGTGTGTGGAGTGAGAGTGCAAATGTCCACAACATTTGTTCCTGCTTAATTTTACTTTAAAATTCTCTATTGATCAAAGTAAAACATTTGGACATTAGCTGTGTCCAAAGTAATGGGTAGTAAGCTAAAGTGAAATGACAAGAGAATGTTTTGTCTTTTCAATATTTTGTATTGTCCTGAAAGTTATTACTGATGAAGCAAAAGTAACCAGTTGATGCTGTGATACTATAACAAGCCTACTACTGCTAAACAAAGTTTGTGACATAACTATAAAATATCTCCACAACATTTTTTTAAATACAATTAGAAAAGATGAAATGGTTTTCTTTTGCAAAATATCTACCTATGTCACTGCAAGTGTAGCTTTAGCTGCAGGTTACATCCAGTAGCTGGTGAGACATCAGACAAAGATGATGGTTGTTATAATGTGCCCCCAATGGGTTTGCAGCTCTGAGAGTAGAACCGCTTTGACAAGGCAGCTGTGCACGCAGAAAAAATTTAGACAGAAGGGATGGGGGACATGCTAGAAGTTCCTCATGTTGGCTGGATGTATTGGGCTAAAAGCATCTTCAGATTGTTTGATAACTGTTTCCAGCATAGTAAAATCTCAAATGTCCAGTAGTGACTTCATGATTTGTGAGATTTGAAACAACAAGGCCACACTGATGTCTGCTTATCAATCCCCTCCAATGCATTTTAGTCTTGCTGATATTTGTCCTTCGGGTCGCTGTGGAAACAAACCAGCCAGGGCTTTACAGAAGGGCTCAGACAATGTACACTTGGGCTAATAATGGTAAGCGACCATAGCTCACACGCCCTTGAACAGATGCCAGAAATGCTGTTGAATTAGCCAGCTCAAAACAGCATCACCATTTAGTCACACTGTCCGGGCAAAAGCTTATCCCCTCATATTAACTTAAAAAAAAAAATAAGTTGGGGAAGGTAATTATTTGTAATGACAGAGATTCACCACCATTCTCAATACTGCCATATAATTAAAACTAGGGCTGAGGGATTTTGACATTCCTGATTTCTTTATGACATCTATTGTGAGATGTAATGTGCATTTATCTAGTTAATCCACTATGAACAAAGCCTCATGCTTCTGGTTGCAATGTGTGTGGTTTTGACAATAGTATGTACTGGAAAAACTCAAATTACTTAACAAAACAAGATTGAAACTACCACGTCAAATCATAAATAATCCCAGTATATTCAACAAAGTGAAGATACAATCCTTCAGTTGTATGTTCAGCTAAACAAAACAGTTATTAACCTGGATTTGCACATTGTCAGAGAAGAAGCCTGTCTCACATTCTAGATTTTAGCAGCGTGAATCGGAGAACTGATTTGATTCCAATCAAATGAATGCAATTCAATGATTCAATTTACTGTTTGTTTTAGGTACTAAATATTCTTTCTAATTACTCACCTGCCTCTTCTAAATAAAGCCTTATATCTGCTTTTCGGCATGCTCTCCTCTCAAAGCCGCAGAGTGCTAACCCATCAGGTGTCACCCACTGCCTCCCTAGCTCTCCTTACTCGACTCATCATACTGCTCTTTCCTGGACCAATCCCACTGTCTTCGCCATACAACAGTGTCGTTATGACACAGGCTTTAAGGCAAGTTTAGTTGTATTGCACAGGTCATACACAAGGCAAATCAAAGTACTTAACAAAACATGATATGAAACAAAGTCATACAAGGAATTAAAATCCTAAAAATAATATATACGGAATCGGGACGAAAGCAGAAGTAAGAATCCTACTTTTGAATTCGTTTTAGAATAATAAGTCCTTAAGTGGTGACTAGTTAAGTTTTAGGTGTCTGAGTTAGATGGTTAGGGTTAGGGTTAAGGGTGGGTTGGGATCCGTCCCACTTCCGTATATGATTTAGTGCTGACCTTACTCAGACTGGAGATGATCTCTTGGACAGTTTTATCATCTACAGGTGAAAAGTGAGTTGGCTCAAAATTCCTCGCCGGCTGTTGGATTGTAATTTGTTCTGCGGAGATATGGTGTTTTGATGCCTTGAACTCATTACATTTAGAAATGGTAGTTAATTCTAGTAGTTGGAGATGGCTGTACTGCTGTTTGGACTGCTGTTATTTTTTACAGAGAAGATTAATCCTATTTTAATGTTCACCCCTCTATGGGTATCAACTGCCCCCACATGGACCCTTTTGATTTTAACTCCTCAAAGTGTTGATGTAATATTTGTTACATAAGTGTGTAGCTCAGATGGCTTTTTGTTTTGACCTGTTCCTGGAGTTTGTGATGACTCCGGCTATGCCGACATGTTTGATTGCATTATCCCCAAACAAAACTGTTCTTGAAGTTCACTCTTGGTGTAGTTACAGCAGCTGTTTTTTGTAGACTGGTCAGTTCATATCAACTGGACCTGGGCCTTAATGAAACAAGCCTCCAGCTTAATGAAACATCAATTAAGCCGATCAATAAACCCATACAATGGGCCACGTCCACTGCTGAAGAATACTAGACACTATGCTTAAGTAAGCAGGGTAGATTTGTTCTTGTTTAAACTTTCAAAGTATACTTGCCTGAATATGGGCAGATAAAAAATCTTTTGTTAACGAGATTAATTATTGTATAGTGCACCAAGGCAGGTGCTTTATATAAGGCTTAGAAGGTTCTTTTAATAAGACAAAAAAATAAATAAAGCTAGTACTGCTTAATTACCTGACATGTTTCGGCGGTAGACTTCCGCCTTCGTCACAGCTGACGCGTGATGGTGCAACGCGTCTCTTATCAGCTGTTGTTGCCGTAGGACACTGGTCCATTTGATACAGACTGATGCTCACAGTGGCACAAAGAGATATGAAAGTTGTTCTCCTGAAGCTGAACTACTGTCTTTCTTAGCTCTGCGCTTTGGTTTAGTGCCATATTTGTGTCACTGCCTTTGCAATGTTCTGAGAATGTAAGTTATGTAATTTATACACAGTAACATTCTCATTCCCAAATCTTTTCACTGGTTGTTTGCCTTTGACCATTTAATTTCATTACGAGAATTTGGTGCAGCCCATGTTTGCATTCTAAATCAAAAATCCGTATTTGAAGTTTCTCTGTTTTGTTGATAGATCCAATAGTGGCTAGAGAAAAATGGCTTGTTAAAAATGTGTTTTCTTTCCTCTTCCAAACATATTGCTTGCTCCAGTTGTCAGAATCCCAAAAACTTGGCATATGTGAGACATCTAGAGAATGATGAATCCTGTTTTTTGTGCAGAAAATGTAATGTTTCTGCTTTTTCAGACAGAAAATTGAGCCAGCCAATCAACTCTCTCCTCTTAATGTCAAATTGTGTCACACAGTCTCAATGCAAAAGATAAAATGCTTTATAATAAGAAAAAGAGATCATGTTGTGATCTATTCTCAAAAAACGTCTTTCTGTTGCGACATGTAATTAATGTATTAATTATGAAATCAAAAAGTCAGGTATCCCAGCTTTAAAAGATTGTAGTCTATGTGACATAAGTATATATAATATGTATCATAATCAAATAAACTCACAATCCCTTGTATATGTTTCTTTATCTGTGTGTGTGTGTGTGTGTGTGTGTGTGTGTGTGTGTGTGTGTGTGTGTGTGTGTGTGTGTGTGTGTGTGCGCGCGTGTAGGTACTCCCTTCCCTAAGAGCTTCATGCAGGTGGCTAAGAAGATTTTGTCACGTCTGTTCCGGGTCTTCGTGCACGTCTATATACACCACTTTGACCGAGTTAGCCATATGGGCGCAGAGGCTCACGTCAACACCTGCTACAAGCACTTCTTCTACTTTGTGACTGAGTTCCACCTCATCGACAACAAGGAGCTGGAGCCTCTGGTGAGAGCGCATTTAGTGTATCAGTCATAAGGATAATGCTTTTATGAATGATGACGTATTGGTGCTCAATATAGGATCTTGAGAATATTTACTTTGCAATTCATGTTTTAGAATGGGAACTACTGAATTCAAGAATATATGCATGCTTAAACATCACTATCATTATGGTATGAACATAATGTACTAACATGATTTTGGGGGCACAACATTTTGGCTAACATGGCTGACTTCCTGATATTGTTTAGTCATATTGTAACATTTTAATTGTATTGACATGTACTATATATGTTTCTAAGTTTTAGTTTTTCAAAGTCGGGCTCCCATTGGCCCCATGTAAATCGAACTTTGAGGTGGCATTATTGAGCCGTCTTTTCATTTGTTCTCTTGGAACTTTCAACTCGGGACTAATACCACAATATGGAAATATGGCCAAAATGAGCACAACTGTATCTATGTACGTGGTGAGATCTAATTAAAGGCAGTACAGGCCTTTCCCAATAATGACTGTCAGTGGATGGTTTGCTAACGGAAGGACGACTAATTCATTTCTGCTGTTTATTTGCTTGAGATAATGGATTTTTATTCTAAAGTAATATTTTTCTTTGCTTTATTAATATGTCGTCCCTTTGTCCCATTTGTTCTCGTCATAATTGAATTGGAAAGTATGCTGCTGGTATAATACTGTAAATAACATCTAACCTTCAGTAAACATAAAGCTGAGCTAAATATAAACAAGAATTGGAACTCCATCCATCCATCCATCCATTTTCTTCCCTTTAATCCATTTCTGGGTCAGGGGGGTGGCAGTCAGAGATGCCACACAAGTCTCAAAGCACCAGCCCCTCACTGACCCTCTGCAGGTGGTGAGTCCACAGGAGGCTGCTCTCTGAGTGTGAGCATAGCCTTGATCTTTCAGTGGGGGCTTTGGGCAAAGTGGGGTTAAGTGTCTTGCCCAAGGACACAACGACAGCAGTCATCAGTGGGAGTCGGTGGAGAAGGTGCAGAGGTGGGAATTGGAACTTTGTAATAAAATTCAAGTCACTCTTGAACAGTTCTGTTTTATTCCCCAGTTTACATGCGTTTCTGCTTTTTCAGACAGAAAAGTGAGCCAGCCAATCAGCTCTCTGCCCTACCTGTCTCTACCTGTTTTATTATAAGATGAAGATGGCATTTTGTGATCTATTCTCAAAAGTCTCTTTCTGTTGCGACAGAGATTAAGTATTAAGTGTGAAATCAAAACATGAGGTCCCCCAGCTTTAAAAGATTAGAATCAATTTACCATATTGCCATTTGCAGAATACACTACATTGGAAAACAAACAGGATACATCGAGGGCACCAACACCACAAAGCACACACAAACAAAATGAAGACGTAGAAAGCCTGTAGCTGAAAAGTGTATCATTTTGAATTTCACAAAAATGTATTTAAAGACCATGATGTCATAGTCTGAGGGTTTGTCATAGCACAACAGAACAGAAGGGGTGGTTAATATGTTGGTTCTAATGTTGCGTGGATGGGACAAAAACAACTCCGGGTCCATTATTGATCATTTGTTAAGAGAACAATTTTGAAAAACTATGACAAAAAAGACATTTCAAAGTTATCTTGAGTGAGGGAACACTTGGAGCTAAAGGCTAACGTGCTGCGTGTGCATTTAGTGACAATCCGATATTCTCTTTTACATTTTCTTGAGGTGAGATAAGATGTATGTCATGAATATCTTATACCTTTTATTCGTAACCATGTATTTGTGCTAACATGGCTAACTCCAGCGCATTTATATGTTGGAAAAACTTACTGAGAAGAGGTTTTAGGACTCGGATAATTCTGCAGGATGAAGGATGAAATGTGTTAACAAAGTATTTTGTATCAGACAACTCGAATGTATTGAAATCCCATATTTTTCATTGATAGTAGCTCATATTTTAAATGACTGAAACAAGAGTAAAATAGACCTGAATCAAAAAAAATGTATGTGTGTCTATACGTGCGTGCGTGTGTTTGTGTACAATGTGACCAGTATATTCCATATATATGCACAATGTGACCAGTATATTCTATATACAATATATATATATATATATATATATATATATATATATATATATATATATATATATATATATATATATATATATATGCATGCACAATGTGACCACTGGAGTTCATAAAGTCACTGCACATTGTTGTACATGTCAAGGCTGACATTGGCTCTGGGTCTGTACTTTCTATATCAGGAGGCTGTTTCTCATTGTCTGATCACGGGGGAACTCTAACCTTGTTTCTAATACTAGTTGTGGAAAAATGAACTACCAAATCCCCCGTTTGTTAAAGGTATATAAGGGGATTTTAAACTTCCGGGTGGATCATCAAGACTTGGTCCTCCCAGTTGTCAGTCATTCTGTTGATACCTGCTTGTCAAATAAGACCTGAGAGTTTTGTACAAATAGTGGAGAGAGCGGTTCTTTCCTAAAATTTTAGGGAAACCTCCTATATACCTTTTTAAGTATTGCCATCATCATTACTTAGTTTAAAAGACATCTACAATCCTAAATGAAATGTAAATGCATCAATATTATTGTAATTTTGTAAAAATATGGCAGAGCGTTAGATAAGATACTACAATGATAATAGGATATAATGAAAATATTGTATCAAATTGAAAGTATTTAGTGAAATTTTATAAACGGCCTGCACATTTGATGGAATCCCTGCCGTCAGCCTGTCACTGGTGAAGCAGACTTATTGAATGATCTAAATATAGACTGATGGGTGATCCCCTCTGGTTTAGGACATTGATCAGCTCTGTCTCCATTACACAATCATTTGTATGTTTTTGATCTGTGTCGCCCCTTTTGGGGTCTGTCGTACACTTTGTGCTGCTGGAGGTGGAAGGGGGTGGAGGATTGTGAAGACTTTGCAATTTATCAGCTAATTTATCAGCCAAACATTGGGATTCATTTTTCTGAAGCATAAAACGGTTTCAGCACATAAAAGATAACCTGGATTACCCTGGAGCAGCCCATCAGCTCTCAGTAAAAAGAAGCACAATTATTGACATAATTGTCAATTCAATTAGTATTAAAATGTTTGCCTGCCATTGACAATTCAAATGATCTATCGAATATGTCTTAGATTTAGCTCTTTGAGCCAGCAGGTGGCAACAGCACTCTTTGGTTGTTTGCTCCCAGGAAACACCACTTGGTGTTTAATTGGTCAGAGTCAGGCCTGAACTGGCCATCGGGCATACCGGGCTATGCCGTGTTTGGGCCTGTCTGCCTGCCTCATACAAAAAATGAAAATGTAATTTTTGTGAAATGTGGAAATCCGTTGAGAAATGTTCGAGGGGGGCCGTGGGGCACTTGCTGCTGTTTGCTGTACTCGAACGGGATTCCGAATTCTCCGTGGTGCAGCGTTCTGGCCCAGGGCAGCTGCGGCCACTTTATAAAGACAGCACCCTTCCTACCTTCAGCGGCTGTCAACATTATGACCTTAACATGGTCATTATGTTCCCAGGATCATGTATTTACGTAACCTGTTACACATTGTGGATGTGCGTGTGTGCTGCAAAATATTATTTTGCAATCACAAGCACTTCGTCATGTGGCGTTTTGCTAGTTTTTAGAATGGAAAACACCACATTTTGTCTGATACTGGTGATTTCAGTGAAACTTCTATCTACTCCACTGGGGATTACTGGAGAACGAGTTAGAAACAAACTTATTTTTGCTGATCTGATTTCCGTTTTCCCCCTATTTTTTAGGTTCACAACAACCATTAGAGGTTGGGTCCGTGTAGGTCAGTGTACCTTCCGTTCATTCTATTTTCGTTTCTGACGTTCACATCGAAAACAAACTTTTTTTCTTATTTCCATTGCTCCAAATTATTATTATTTTTTAAAAAGTTTTCTGATTTGTGAAGCATATATTGAAAAAATGAAGAATTTGCCATTTTCCAATTGAATCATGGCCGTTATATTGGATTTTTCATTGTTTTACTCGAACTGAATTTTGTGTAAACGTTGCACTATTCAAAATCTAATTCAAAAATACATAAAATCATGAATGTTTTATTATTCATTTTATTCCTCCATACTGCCCAGGCCATACTGCAGTTCATCCAACACATTCTGCAAAAACCCAAGGTCAGCGAGTGCACCACATCCACATCTTTAACAACCAGCACCAACAAACTTCACTTCAGGGCACGGTTTTACCTGCTGCAGTTTCCTCACAGACCAGGGTAGCCTCCCCAAATATCTATTCATTTTGGGGCCACCAAACTGAAACCCTAAAAATGAATGTTTCAAACCAGATAAATAAAATCCGAGGCTTTTCACCCCAAACCAAGTTTTAGGTAAAAAAAATTAAACGAGTTTTTAGGAAAGGGGTTTTTCAATTTCTTCATAGAATGAACGCAAGTTACACGGACCAGGTTGTGTAAAGTAATTTATATTCAATTAAACATTTGTTTTATTTTAATTAATCTCGAGTCAAATGGTTATCTGTGTAGCAGTACCACAATCTGTGCATCTTAAACTGAAAAAATGGTGACTAGTTAATTGTCAAAGTAGCATAAGTTAATGTTCCCAGAAAAAGTTTTTGTTTTGTTTTTGTTTGCTCCTACTGAAATACTGACAGTTTAATTTAAAGAACAAATCGGACCACTACAGCCTGAATTGTATATATTTTATATTTAGTAATGCATTGGTTTTATATAGCGCTTTTTGGACACTCAACTGTCATTGTTCATTCGCTCCCTTCACGGTGGTGATAAATACTACTGTAGCCTCAGCTGCCCTGGGGCACACTTACAGAAGAGAGGCAACCAGTCTGTGCCATCGACCCCTCCGACCACCACCAACCATTCACACACACACCAGACTCATTCTAAGCAATGGGGGTGAAGTGACTTGCTTAAGGACACAACGGCAGTTTGGCACTTTACAGCCGCAACCGCCCCACTGTGGCATCAGGCCTCCCAGAGGTTAAGTGTCTTGCCAAGGACACAACAACAGCAGACATCAGTGGAAGTCGGTGGAGAAAGTCTCGTGGTAGACTTGAACCCACAATCTTCAGGCTCAAAGGTGCTCTACCAACTGAGCCACTGTCGCCCCAATTGATACATTGCTGTCTGAAAAAGCTTGGATAAAGATGTGACAGCGGCCAAAGATGCATACAAAACTAGAACGCAAGGAGCTAGTTAGAAAGATTCAATTGTATATTTATTTGTGGTTGAATGTTGGGTGCCCCAGTTTTAACTAAAAATGACTTGAGATAAATGATTCCCGAATGGCCGAGAGCGTTGAATAGCAGTGAATGTTTGAATGAGTGCATGCGTTGTTCGAACAATGTTACCAGTTGAGGTTAGAGTAAAGTTTTTTTTTTTTATAATTGAAAATGTGAAACCACTGTAAACTCATTACATGCAAGTTTTGTTTTGCAATCCATATTATTCATTATCCATACTGTTTATTTGGGGTTTGGACAAGTTGTGAGTCAATTATAAACATGATAACAATAATTAGAGATTTTGAGATATCCCTCTTGTTTGTGAGCGGCACAGTGGCTGAGTGGATAGCACTCTCGCCTCTCACCAAGAAGGTCCTGGGTTCGACCGGTTGGACCAGGGCCTTTCTGAGTGGAGTTTGCATGTTCTCCCCGTGTCTGCGTAGGTTTCCTCTGGGTACTCCGGTTTCCCCTATCACTAAAAACATGTCCAATAGTTCTGGCATGCGCCTCCTGTACTGGCCCCGCTCACATCTCTGTGTGGAGTGAGAGGACAAATGCCCAAAAATAACAATTGTAAACCGCTTTGTGACTCTGGTCTGTGAAAGGCGGTATATAAATAAAGATTACTTACCTACTTACTCTTTGCCTGTCTCTCTGCAAAACTTCCTGCATCCTTTTATACCACTTGGCCGCTGTAAAACACTGCATATTGACCGGGGGTTGTGTCTTTGCAGAGAGAGATGACGTCGCGGATGTGCCACTGAAGCAGCTGTTCTCCATCACACCCCATCCGTCCAGAGAGCAGCGCAGAACTAAACTCATGCAAAGAGTCTATTTTTATATTTAAGTACTGTAACCTGTAGCCGTGTCACGAAGGTCATTGGGAGCATTTGTTTCCTTTTCATTTGATTCATTGAAGTATTAAGAGCTGTCTGTTTGTGTTGCTTTTTAACCCATTCTCAATCATTCCAGGATATCACCACTTTGTATCATTTTTTTTTTTCCTGATTAGCATAAATATATTCAGCAAAATCTGTTTTTTCTTTCTATAACATTTTCAAATGTTAATACATTAAAATATTTATCCGGAAATGGAATTGGCTTTTTCATTATCACAATAGCAGACAATGCAAACCTTACAAGAAATTATGTTTACTTCACTGCCTTTGTTGCCTGAAAGAACCCTTTGGAATTACTTTTTATGAAGCTGAGGTGCTTTAGTTTTGGCCTCTAAGCAGGAGCAATCTCAGGACAGAGCAAGGCAAAAATAAAGAATCAAACTACAGTTCAAACTGGTCCTATTCCAGAATGTTTGATTTGACTGGAAATGGGGATACAACTTTTATTTTGAAAACACATAATGAAATATACAAGGCCTATAATAAAACGCACAAGGCATATAGGTTGTATAACGGGTTACGTTTTTAAAAATCAATTTTATTGACTGCACATGATCTTAAAGCCATTTCTCAAATATATAATATAGTATTACACAGCAATATCATCAGTTGAGATTAAAATCACCAAATTATTAGTGAGAATTCTCCACTACGTCCTATACCGCATTTAGCCATTTAGCATTATTGAAATATGTGTTCAACAAATCATGGATTCTCCTACTAATTAATTTGCATCGATCAGGATTCAGACCGTAGCACAGCACTGAGGCTGCACTAACTAAAGTGAGAACAATAATCGTTGACACCGACAGGGAACTTTTCAGTGTTTCATCCCAAACACATCACACATTTGAAGCCAAAATTGCAGTACGCGTCGGAAGTTGACGGACTATTTCTGATACATTCAATTTGAAAAAGCCTGGAGCATGCACACCGCATGACGTCGTGCAGTTGTCAGGGGCACAAGATTTAATTACAATACTTTAGTTGGCTTTTATACACTTTTAACTGGATGTTTTTGTATTATATATATTTATATTTGCTGTGCTTTCAATATGATATAAATGTTTTAACTACCTGTGCCTCCATACTATGGAGGACCAAAAATGACTAAAGTATAAATAAATAAATAAATAAATACAGGAATATATTAATAAATACATTCATTTTGGACAATAAAAACTAAATATTTACATTGATGTGTTAAATATTACTATGAAATCAAATAAATATACTTTTATTTAGGTTATTTATCAAAATCTACATTTTTTCCTTTATTTATCCATTTATTGCATATATTTATTTATGTATTTCTACATTTCTTCATTTATTTATTTATGTATTTCTACATTTATTTATTTATGTATTTCTACATTTCTTCATTTATTTATTTATGTATTTCTACATTTCTTCATTTATTTATTTATGTATTTCTGTGTCGTTACATTTCTTCATTTATTTATTTATGTATTTCTACATTTCTTCATTTATTTATTTATGTATTTCTGTGTTGCCGTATGCTAATTAGGCGGGCGGTGCTGAACTCAATCAATAGCAGGATTGGTGGGCAGTAGGGCAACCAGACAGAAGCAAAGTTAAGCCTAGCGTACATCGACAGAGAAACTGGAGACAAGTAGTTGCAAGGCGGCTTTTGGCAACTGAGAGGAGATGATGGAGATGATCAGTTGAAATCGGTCGATGTGCGCGCTCTTACAACTGGAGATGAACAGTCGGTCTCCAGTTTCAGTCAGTTGCCCGTGTTCTACTTTTCAGCAACTAGTTGTCCTCAGTTTCGGAGATATGACCCGATGTGCGCGCTCCATGCGCCGCTCCGACAACGTGCGTGTGTTGCGAGCCCGCAACAGTTTATGTCAGAAAACACACTGTAGTTGAGGCCAGTTGCTGTCGATGTACGCGCTGTTATTCCCCAGACTGGTCTGATACTGGGAGTTTCCCGTTTTCGTCAGATTGTCGATGTGTGCGGGGCAGCAACTCATATGCGACGGATATAATCAGTTGCCAGTCCGATGTACGCTAGGCTTTAGCCTTCTCGGTTTGTGAGAGGATGTGAAGCTGCTGCTTGTTGAAGAGCATCCAGCTCAGTTGCATCAAAGTCTACCTCTGGGTCAGCACTGTGATGAACTAAAACATTTAATAGTCTTTCCAGCCGAAAGAGTAGATAGTCCTCAGGTGCATTATGCTCAACATCATTAACATCATTTGCTAATGCTCTTAATTGATGAGCAATGGCTCCTAAAAAACTTACATTCGAAACTGCCATCATACCACACAAAAGTGCACAGAGGATCTCAAGCTAGCACAGAGTACCGTAATGTGAGGCAGTAATGATCGAGACCAGAGTTCACGCAATCCTAACCAATCCTGTTCTAGATTGAGTTCAGCACCGCCCACCTAATTAGCATACAGGAACACAGAAATACATAAATAAATAAATGAAGAAATGTAGCGACACAGAAATACATAAATAAATAAATGAAGAAATGTAGAAATACATAAATAAATAAATGAAGAAATGCAGCGACACAGAAATACATAAATAAATAAATGAAGAAATGTAGAAATACATAAATAAATAAATGCAATAAATGGATAAATAAATAAAGGAAAACATGTAGATTTTGATAAATAACCTAAATAAAAGTATATTTATTTGATTTCAGAGTAATATTTAGCATATCAATGTAAATATTTCGTTTTTATTGTCCAAAATGAATGTATTTATTAATATACTCATGTATTTATTTATTTATTTATACTTTGGTCATTTTTGGTCCTCCATACTTTCCTCCCTGAACTCCTCTAATCAGTTCACCTGTGATAGACTTGGAGTGATTTTAGCTGGTTGAGCATAACGGGACGCGATACAGAGGTTGGACAGAACAAGGCCAGGATGTAGCGACAGACTGGGCTGACCCATGCCGTTTGACTGGCGCTGTGCGGAGGCGCGGGCAAAGATGGGACGACCGAGCCATTGGACCATGGACACGGTAAAGACGTAAACGCTCGGACCAGAACGTTCCACACGCTACACATACATACATACGTACAAGTGGTAAATGTTTCTAACAGTTGATGTCCAGAAACCCCCAGACCATGACTTGTGCTCACTGGGAGAGCCATGATTGGAACAGTGCAACCTGTACAAGCTGATGTCGGTCATGTAAGTAATCTTTTATTTATAAAGTGCACAGATCAGAGCCAAAAGGCTTTAAAAAAAAAAAAATCTGGTCGTTTGTCTTCTCTCCCTGCAGAGATGGGAGCAGTTGCCATACAGGACCTATTGTGTTTATTTTCAGTGGTAGGGGAAACCGGAGCACCCGGAGGAAACCAATACAGACACGGGGAGGTGGATTTGAATCCAGGACCTTCTTGTTGTGAAGCACTAACCCCTGCACCACAGTGCCGCCCCCTAAGGCCCCATTTAGACGGAGACGCTGCAGAGGCGCTGCAAAGCCATCCACAAAAACCCCACTCCAGATTCTAAGTGCAACTTTACAACGTGACACGCGCAACCCCCAGCAGTATATTCACTTCCTCAACAACATCCTCCTCAAGCCACCGCAAAGACGTGAAAGAATGCACCAACATCATTCTGCATTTATCAGGAGCAGCTGATGACACATGGCTCATTGTTGGTATATTTTAATTACAATTTCCCAAGAGTGTATTTTTATTTTATTTTTATTTATTATTTTAGGGGATTGAGGAAATGCCCTGCCCCCCTGGTTGACGACACCACTGACAAACCCTCAGACTCCTCAGGAGGTGTCCTAATCACCATAGAACACACCATAGGCATTTTAAAGGGATGCTGGATGTGTTTGGACACAGCAGGTGGCAAATTGCTGTACAAACCAGAGAAGGTAAGACAACAGATTTTTTTTTTTTCATTTGCCTATTATAAGAACCGTCTAGTTTATTAAAATACCTTGCAGCTTATCTTATGACTCTCCCTACAGGGCTGTAGGATAATCATGGCCTGCTGTATCCTGCACAACATCGATGTGAAGCGTGGTGTGCCACTCGGCCACTACACCGTGAGGATTTGCGCCCTGATGTAATGACGGGACCAGACTGCAGGGGCGCTGTTCATGTTCGATAGCAGTTAATTTCCCGTTTGTGAATAAAGTTCAATACAACAGTCTGTGATTCACTTCAAATATGAGGACAGACCAGTTCCAGTGCACATCTTTATTTTCTTTTGAAATTCTCATACATATCTTTAATGTGTTTGATATGGTTCCCAGTGTTGAAGCAATCTTCTCCAGCGTCTCCCCTTTCTGTTCCTAATCCGACATCAGGCGTGGTCATGGAGAGGCACAGGTTCATGTGGATGTGCTGCTGCAGGAGGGCTCTTCCCGTTCTGGCTCTGTTTCAAGTTGGCTCTGCAGGACTTCTTCAGTGATTAAAGAAAATAAATGAAAATCAAGCAAAGTTCGCAACCCCATTCCAATACTAGAGCCGTATTTGAGCTCACACACTATGATAAACTCTAGAGATGGTGGTGTGTGAAAATCTCAGTGGATCAGAAGTTTCTGAAATACTCAGCCCAGCCTGTCTGGCACCAACAACCATGCCACGTTCAAAGTCACTTAAATCCCTTTTTTCCCCATTCTGATGCAGAATGTCATGACCATGTCTACGTTCCTATATGCATCTAGTTGCTGCCATGTGATTGGCTGATTAGGAATTGGCATTAAAGTGGAGTTGGATAGGTGTACCTAAGAAAGTAGCCGGTGAGTGTATACATAAGTAATATCTAACAGCATTCATGTGTTGATACATTACCATTAATACATCAAACATATTTAGCGCTTTTTTGAACACCCAAAGACGCTTTACAA